AACTTCGTCTGCAGACTGCTTTCCGCTTGGGTGTCATGTGACCAGAGCATAATCGCAGCCTTTGCGATTAGAAAATCTTGTTTTATTACATCGCGATAATATCGCAAATGCAATTTAATCGTTCAGCCCTACTAAAATCATCGTTAGCTGCAGCCCTAATGAAAAGTGCAGTGAGATAACATCTGTTATGACTTGGTGCTGTTTGAATAAAATCATATCTGATGCAAATGAACCTCCAATACTTTCCACTAAATCATATTTTCATTATATTTATCTTTTCTCTCTATGCTGTACGATCAATCTTGAACGAGACGATTTGCTGCTTTTCTTTGTGACATGTCACTGTAAATAAAATCTCTTTGGGTTTTGGACTCTCAAAACATGTTAAGATATCACCTTGACGGGCATTTCTTCTCTTTTCTGAAGACGAAACAGCGTTAGTTTCAGCCCCGGTTCATTCCTACTACCTGCAATTTTTATTCCCTGCTGGAAATATTAAATAAACTGAAAAGTCCTCATGTATATGAACAAAGGTATCTTTTCCTTTGTGCTATGAGCCTCGTTAAAGCTTCCATCTGTTTATATACGTGGAGACTTTTACATATGACACTGTAGTTTTGGGTTCTCCTGAACATAATGAAACAACCAGAGACCATCAACAGGGAGGCTTTGAGGGATGACACGGTTCATTTCTTCAGCAGCAGAGGCAGAAGTTTGTGTGGACAATCCCAGCAGCCGGTAAACTGACCTTCACAGCTAAATCGATTGATCAATCCACAGAACATTATTCAGCAACCGACGTCACTCTGAGATATAACTATGTTACTGTGATGTTTAACAGATCAAACCACTCAGGGATTATCTGATAATGATGATAATGTAGTTGCAGTCCTCAAGATCAGGTGTTGAATCAAAACTTCTGACACCCTCCTGAATGAATAAGCTGACTGTGAAGGAAAACAAACACAACCTAAAGCTTATTTACCTCCTGCAGGAGCTGCAGCCAGCCTGAACAAACCCAACCAAACCAGGCTTCCGCCGTTTCTCACATTCACCAGAGATCAGCTAATAAACAACTAAAATAACAAACCAGAAAACTACACAAATCAAAACATATCAATAAACCAGCCCGGATCGATCTCCAGCCTCATGATTGGTAACTACGTGGATGGATCTGCAGCTGCGGACACATGATGCAGCCATGCGGGCAGCCTGCAGCTGCAGCTCCGCCACCACCTCCACCTGCTGCGGCCTCCCGTCTCGCCTCTCCCCGGGGCCGGTGCATTATTACACTTAACAGATAAACGGCATTTTACCACCGAGCTCAGGGGAGATCTTCGCCACATGGGGACATCAGGTTCGCTAGCCCCCCGGCTAACAGTTAGCCCGATACCTCCGGGACCGCGGTGTTTCCGAGCCGCTCTCCCCGGCCTCCTCTCACTCGTGGCCGCCATGCTCATCAAGCGCGGGGCGGGACGAGCTCCGGGGCCTAGCCGCCCTGCGCCGAGGCTCGGGGCGGGCGGCAGCGGGAACCACGGCCACGGTCCGGCCGGGGTTTGTGCTTAAAGGATACGGCACAGCTGCCGTGTGAAGCGGAGACTCACCCTCTGCCGCCGCCGAAGCTGCCGTAGGCCCGGTCCCGCTCCTCGTAGCTATCGAAGTCCGCCATTACCGCTGCTGTGTGTCGGAGGAGGAGGTCCTACACGTCACACACAGAGCGGGGTTTAGCTGTCTGCGGAGCGCCTGACCGGGAACACCGACACTTTCACAAAAATGTGTTGTTGTTGTTGTTCACTGAATTTGAAAAGCTTTATAAATACAATAAGCACAGAGACACCAAGTGTTAGGTCTGTTGTATATCTTAATAAGAACTGAAGAATAAACAAGAATGTAGAAAACATAAGAAACTATTAGTGGGGAAATGTGATTTAAACAAATCTAACAACTAAAAAACACATTTTTGTTAAGAAATAGCCTACAGCAGAGTCTTCACTGTAAAAATACTGTTACAAGTAAAAGTTCTGCATTGAAAATGTTGGTAAAGTAAAAGTTTTTAATAAATAGGTAAATTACTTAAAGTATTAAAAGTAAAAGTACTCAAAGTAGAATGAAAAATCTCCCCTGACTGTTGTACTATTATATATTATATCATGGAATTACTATTCCTCATGCTTTCATGTATAAGCAGGATTTTAGTGTTGTACTTGGTTGAGGTTCAACTGTTTAGTATCACACTGCAATTAATGACTATTTTCATTCTGGATTAATATGTTGATTATTTTCCTCAATACCGATTGTAAAAATTCTAACAATAGTGACAAATGTTGTCACAGAGCTCAAAGTGACACCTTCACAATGCTTGTTTTCTCTGTCCAAACCTCAAAATGATTAAAAATACATTAAAATAATCAAAAGGAAAAGCAACAAATCTTCACATGTGTGAAGCTGAAATGTTTATACATGAAGAAAGACCTCAACAATGATCAGAAAAGTTGCCAATTAAATTTCTGTCAATCAACTATTGTACTAGCAGTACTTGTATAAACTGTTGGGTAGTTTAATTTATCACTACACATCATATTTTATAAACTCTTCATGTGTTTTGTGTGTAAAAATCTGACTTTGTAAAGTAACTGAAGCTGTCTGATAAATGTAGTGAAGTAAAAAGTCCAATATCTCCCTCAGAGATGGAGGAGAAGGAGAAAGTGGTATTAAAGAAAATACTCAGGAACCTCTAATTTGCACTTAAGTATGGTACTTGATGTATTTAGTTACTGTCCACCACTAGCCTACATTAAGTAAATGCATCAAGTGTTGCAGACGAAAAAATTATTTTAAAGCCTGTTTGTTACTATAAGAATCAGACTTTCTGATTAAATGTTTATATTCCCTTAAGAAAGGAGAACCCAGATGATTTGCTTTTACTTATTTGTACATTTGTTTGAAAACAGAATTAAATTAAAACAAACAAAAAAAATATCAACAACTCATATTCATCAATTACTGCTTTTATGCAAACAAGTTATCCAAAATGATTAATGAGATCAAAGCGTTGGGTATCAAAAGAGCTCAAGGAGAGAAAAAGAGGAAGAAAATTATTTTTTGTAGTGGTGACACTGAATTCTTTGAGAATAGGAGACAAAAAGATCTCAAGATTTTCATGAAGAACATATAAATATTCTACATTATATGATGTTTTGTTAATATATTTCCTGTATATGTTCATGTTTATGTGCTGCTTGTATTCTCTTCTAACAATTCTAATTCTAATTGAAGACTTTTCTCAATTAAAGTGAAAAACATTACACCAACACAAAGTATGAAACCTCTTCTGGAACATTCTGTGCTTTGTGTTATTTCATTTCATATTCTCCCTGACACAATTTTAAATTAACTGTTTCTGCGTATTTATTCTACATATGCAAATGAATTAATAGGCTGGGTTGAAAACCTTCAGGATATCAAAATACATATTATCCAATTTCATGTACATCTGGTCAGTAAAGGTTTCTTGCACTGGACAGTAATGTTGTAGTACTCGAGACCGGTCTTGGTCTTAAGACTACTCTTTTGATGGTCTTGTCTCAGTTTCGGACATTGAGGATTTTATTTCAAGACCAGTAAAGAATATCAATAAATCGCTTTTGCATTGTCTGATTTATTTATTAACATCCGAACTTTGATTGGATGTAAAATGTTTTGCTTCAAATGCAACCAATAACCCTAATTAAAAATGTGTTGTTCCTGTTAATGACTGTCCCCCCTCCCGGCGATGGTGATGCTTACGTTGATTTCAGCTCTTAGTGTTTGTATGTGGGTGTTTTGGGGAAGCACCTGTGATCTCGTTCCATATTTTATTGTGTGTCATGTAATGTGGGTAACTGGTCTTGGTCTTGATTCGGTCTCGTCCTCCTTCGGTCTTGGTCTCGACTTGGTCTCAGCCCTCCCTCTATTCATGAGTCTCTATCCTCCTTTAAAACTTTGCTCAAAACCCACTTATTTCTAAAGGCCTACCCCACATAACTCCACATAACTCCACGTAACTCCACCCTCCACCGGCTTCTTGAGGAACTGCTTTCTGTTAATTTTCAAAAATTTTGTCTTTTTTTTAAATTTTCTTTATTGTATTTGTCTCCTTGATATGTATTTTAACTGTTTTAATCTGTAAGGCCCACAAATAACATGGATTGTTATTATTATTAGTCGTGTACTGTCTGGTCTAGTATGTCAAGGGCCTAGGCCTAGTTGAGTTTTTGGAAAGCTCATGTAGCTCTTGCAGATCTCTTGTGGGCATTGCAACTACTTTTAGAGCCCTTTAGAGATCTTGTCAGCCTTGTGGAGATTTGGTGGGCGCCTTTAAGGTCTTGTAGACCTGCAGAGGTTCAACCTAAACCTATGTAGATGTTTTACAGTTCTGACAGAGATCTCATTGACATCTTGCAGGTCTTGTTGGATGTGCTAGGATTCAACACAACTGTCTAGTAGATTTCTTGCAGAGATCTAAGAGGTTTTAAGCTGATGTTACACAGAGCAACTTTGACAGCAATGTTGCCGTCAATGGTAAATGAGTAAAAATTACTACTGTAATCTAAAATGACCTGCCCCAGCCCGCCGCTATCCATTCAAAACATGGTCGGACTTGCTAACAACATTGCTCAAAAAGTTGCCCCGTGTATCATCAGCTTTATAGGACATGTACGGATTCAACCCTGCTGTTGTGGATCTTGTACATTTCTATCAGAGGTGTGGTAGATCAATTACACCCCTTTGTTAAAAAAATAAAAGATGACTTCAATCGCTGGACCAAGCTCCCACCCACTCTCACTGGGCAAATCACCATTATCATTTGTTTTCACTGAGTACCACCAACAACAACTGGTTCCAAACACTTGACTCATTTTACTGGAAAATCAAAAAACCCAGAATTTCACTGAATTATATTCTTCACAGCCAGACATAGAGGAGAAGGCTACTGATCGTACAATAGGTAAGACACAAAGTTTTGTTAAGAAAGTTCACTTTAATTATGTTAAAATAACAATCAGTAGTGAAATTGGTGCAGGTGCAGATTGGGTCTTGCCAAAGGGGGTCCATTAAAAACCACAAGGAGTGATGAGAGGCTGATTTCATGCAACCTATTGCGCCCTGCTGTCAGTATCAGTAATGGCAGGAAACCCCCTCTCACACTCAGATGAGGTGGGAAGGTGTGTCCTGCCTGCTGTGCAAAGCTGTTCCAGAGTTTCACCTGGTGCTTTATCTTAATTTAATCATGGAGATTCTGCACACAGACTGAGTGGGACTAAAAAAGTTTCTTCTGAGCTTTGAGCTAAAGTGAGTGAAGTTTATGATATTGCACTGCCACACTTCGATGGCGATGACAAGAATAACATGCTGGTAGGATTTAATCTCAATGTGACTTCCTACTTAGATAAAAGTTATATACGGTTTGTTTTAAAGTAAATTGGCATAAATGCATAAATCATACATCAATAATAGCCTAGTTTTACATTTGATCCACAGAGGAAAACAGAAATACATGGCAATAAAGCAATATTTTAAGTCAATATTTTAGAGACCCCTGGAAAATTTCACAAATCATGTTTTTAGGGGAGCTCATGGCTCATTAAGAGGAGCCACGCTCCCCTGGCGTCCACAGCCTGGTCCCCCAGCTGGGGTTAGGTCGGCCATTTCTCGGTTTTTCATTGGTCCAAGTCCTTGCTTTCAAATAAGAGACCAGTCCAGGAATACATTTCTGGGTCTTTTTGGGTTTCAGCCCAAACTGTTGGACTTGTGAAGACCTCTAGTCTCAACACAAGGGACAGAAGAACCAACTCCCTGACCCGAGCGTTTTTCTCGGGTAGGGCGCCGGGAAAAAGAGCTAAACAGTTACAAGCCCTAAGTCTTGGTTTAAAAATGAAGCACTCACATAAGAACGTAGCACTAGCAGAGCACTAAATATTCTTTGTGAATGAATTTATGGATTTATAAATGATTTTCTGTCAAAATCAGCAGGAGGGGCGGCTTTTTCCTTCAAAATGTATTTGCAGTTGCAAATTTGTTGTATATAAATGTAACTTCTAGAATACAGGGACTTAAACTATGGCTAAACATAGTCACATAATCTTGGTCAATAATTTGTCATGGTCTCTGGGGAGGGCACATCTGAATAATCTAATCTGACTTTACTCCAAACATAATGCAGATGAGTTCAAATATTAGAAGGGACTAGTCTGTAAGACAGTAGTCTGTTGGACATGTCCCTCCCGCCCGTATGCAAACCTACACCCTTGCTTGTTTCTTGCAGATCTTTTTAAGATCCAGCAGAAGAGTTTTAGATCTTGTAGACCTCTTATAGAGTTCTTCAAGGAGACGTAAGGATTCAGGAGATCTTGCAGATCTTGTAGTGGCCTCACACGGTGGTCTTATAGATCTGTGAGAGGGGTTGATCAAAAGGAGAAGCTCATTCTAATAGATGTGGATGTTGAGATTGTGGGAAGATACGCGGTTCACAGGGTGATGTTCGCTATATTTTAGCAGCTGCCCGGTGTTTGGGGTTCCTATGGGATGTCCCTCAGGTTTGGTGGAGGGGAGGCGCTCTGTGGTGGTGGTGGTGATGGTGGTGGTGATGGTCTTGATCCACGCTGTCGCAGGTCGCCGGACAGGTCATCCTTCTCGCCAAGAATCAGGGTTTCTCCCAAAGACTGGAAGCATAAAACCCAATACAGGATCAAACCAAACCAAACACCCTGAGACAAACTAGAACTATACAAAAACAAAAACACAATCAACCAGAGACGGGGACTCGAGTTTGAGATTAGGACTCGAGTCCAACTTAAGTCGCACGCACAGTGACTTGAGACTTGACTTGTGCAGGACTCGTGAACACTGTTTATTTTTAGGAAGCGTCTGATGAGCGTGCTGTTATTCCCTCCCTGCGTTACCTGTAACCTGCCTACGTAACACGTAGCATCAGCTGCGCGGCCGCACGTGAGAGAGGACAACGAACAGCTGCTGAGCCGTTCATCATAAACTTTGGCTTTAAAACGTCATACAACAAGACCCAAACAAAGGAGCGCTGAACGCAACATAGGTTAGTAACCTGAGGTTAGTGAACATGTTTAGCTCAGCAGTGGCCATCTGACGTTAGCTTGCTTCTTGCTTTAGCTACGACCTACCAGAGGTTAACTCTGACTGTCGTTCGTTGTGGTGTTCGATTAACGGAATCATTTACGTCCCGCTGGCTGCCATCACGTTAATTATGAACGTCAGCCGCAAACAGGTTCCAGGTTTATTGTTGATCATGTAACGTTACAGTTTTATTGTTATAACGTTACCCTGGGTTTGAGAGCGGTTGGTGTTGACTTACAGTAGTTAATAAGCGGTCATTAGTTGCATTGCACATCACATGGTTGTGCTCTGTAAATGAAAAACAGGTCACAGTTACAGAATCCCTTCTAGATCTGCAGTTTTATAAGCAGCCTGGATTGAACGCAGCAGCTGATCCAACATTCATTATAACCAGGAGAGACTTGAGACTTGACTTGGACTCTAGCTCAGAGACTTGAGACTTGACTTGGACTCTAGCTCAGAGACTTGAGACTTGACCTGGACTCTTGCTCAGAGACTTGAGACTTGACCTGGACTCTAGCTCAGAGACTTGAGACTTGACCTGGACTCTAGCTCAGAGACTTGAGTCTTGACCTGGACTCTAGCTCAGAGACTTGAGACTTGACTTGGACTCTTGCTCAGAGACTTGAGACTTGACCTGGACTCTAGCTCAGAGACTTGAGACTTGACCTGGACTCTAGCTCAGAGACTTGAGACTTGACTTGGACTCTAGTTCAGAGACTTGAGACTTGACCTGGACTCTAGCTCAGAGACTTGAGACTTGACCTGGACTCTAGCTCAGAGACTTGAGACTTGACTTGGACTCTAGCTCAGAGACTTGAGACTTGACCTGGACTCTAGCTCAGAGACTTGAGACTTGACTTGGACTCTAGCTCAGAGACTTGAGACTTGACCTGGACTCTAGCTCAGAGACTTGAGACTTGACCTGGACTCTAGCTCAGAGACTTGAGACTTGACTTGGACTCTAGCTCAGAGACTTGAGACTTGACTTGGACTCTAGCTCAGAGACTTGTGACTTGACCTGGACTCTAGCTCAGAGACTTGAGACTTGACCTGGACTCTAGCTCAGAGACTTGAGACTTGACTTGGACTCTAGCTCAGAGACTTGAGACTTGACCTGGACTCTAGCTCAGAGACTTGAGACTTGACTTAGTAAGTAGTTAGCAATAGTTTATTTGAAGTTTTTCAGTCAGGATTTAGAGCTCATCATAGCACAGAGACAGCACTGGTGAAAATTACTAATGACCTCCTTATTGCATCAGACAAAGGACTTGTCTCTGTACTGGTTTTATTAGATCTTAGTGCTGCATTTGATACCATTGACCATCAGATCCTATTACAGAGACTGGAATATTTCATTGGCATTAAAGGAACCGCTCTAAGATGGTTTAAGTCCTATTTATCAGATCGATTTCAGTTTGTACATGTTAACGATGAGTCCTCCATGCACGCCAAAGTTACTCATGGAGTTCCTGAAGGATGCTCCATATGACTCCATATTAATGTCTATTGATTTAGAATGGGATGTAATAAAAGTAATGTGTAGGTGTCCATATACTTTTGTTCATATAGTGTACAACGTAAAACCTTGAATAATAGCCCGGGCCTTTATTTTCTAAAATCACTGAATTGACGCTGCCTTTATTTGGGACAGACCTTTAATTCTTTTTGCACAAAACTGCTATGAAACAGTTTATTTATTTCAAACAGAATAATACTAAAAAATGATCCAATAATATCGAATACACGTCATTCATTTGATCCAGCTCCGACAGACGGCTTTTGCGCTTTTATTTTGAAGGCAGTAACCTAAGGAAAACAACAACAGGCTGCAGGATGAGAGAAGTTAGCAGACAGAGAGCGACGGACTTCACATGACAGGATTCACAACTTGGATTCATTTTTCTGAAAAGTTGTTCTGATGGGTGGAGCCTCACAGACTGAAGGAAGATAAATAATCAGGAACGGACACATTTGGACTGAACGAGCGCTTCAAAGGTAACGAGAGTTTCATCTCTTGTACCAGGCAGGTTACAGCGGTAAATCTAGAAGAATTAGACTTTGGGTCTTATTTTTTCCGTTAGTGGTATTGTGGAGAATCTAACCGAGCTAACGACGTGCAGCGTGTCCATACTGACATATTGATTATACGTTTAAACATTAATATTTGTATTAACGATCTAAGCAGCTTAGAAGCAGCTAAAGCGGCGAGCCCGCGGGGTTTAAGAGGTTTTATACATCCAAAGAACTTCTATAAAAACCAGACCAGGCATTTATTTGTCAAAATTTGTTCCCACACCAGGCCAGTAAAGGAGGTAGGCGGCTATTTGGGACTCGGCTATTAATTGAAGTTTTACAGTGTGCTTCCCTTAAAACCTGTTGGGGACAGGGACCTTTTTCCAGGAAAAAAACGCCTGAAATAACAAACCCAAAATAAACCATCAGGCCTAGATGCATAATTCTGGTCTCCTTTGAAAGGTCAGAAGCTGAGGAACATAAATCCATTGTACATCAATATATTTATTTTACCGTTACAGACTACACGGAGATCCAATAAAGAAAAAATATGATATTTTCATCCTCGCCTGGTAAAACAAGCTATATTTTAATGCAATAAATCATCAAAACCATCACAAGGAAGCTTATAATGCACCTGAACACCTTCAGTGTTTCCCACATATAGGCTTTACTTGGGCCCAGGTAGATTTGGCGACCAGTTTTAAAATCGTTTTTGCTTGCAGCGCATATTTGCTCTGCACATCCTCTCACTCAGTCGGTCTCTTTCTCTTTCTCTCTCTCTCTCTCGCAAACACGGACAGCAGACCCGTCTGTGAACTGAATGGTTGATATAAACACCGCTGCACAAATCTGTCCAACACAACGCTGTCAATGTCGGAGACACATCTGCAAAACAGTTATTAGCAGGCATGTAAGGAGGCCAGCTAATAAAGATCTATGTTAACTTTGGAAAACAGCTGTCGAAGTTACCACGCTATGTAACTGGTAGTCAGGTGCGTTCGAGATAACTGAGGCTGACTTTCACCGACTTGATAGAAAGAGGAATAAAAACAGCGCCGTCAAGTCAGTGACGAATTCTGCATGCCTGCCATTAATTGCATAGGCACCTCGCAGGAGGAAACGCTCTTTTATACTGAGAAAAGAGGTGGATGCAAAATTCGGCAGGTAGCCTACAACATCCGTTTTGCCGTCGCCATGTTTCTACAATAGCCCACTACATTGAATACGTACGAAGAAGAAGAACACCAAGTAACATCAGTTTAATCAGAAGCTTTCTTTCCTCCTTAAATAAAGAACATAAAGAAGTAAACAGAACTTTGATTCGTGCAAAATTACGTATTGCATAAACATATTTTGCAAACATGTAATCTGTAATCTGGTTATAACGGTTAGTTTGCTGTTCATGTAGAGTGAACTAGATGTCTGCGTGTGTTTATACGCTCTGATAATGTTAATCCAACACATCTTTGTAGCAGCGTCCATGTTGATTCCACGTTCAGACATAAGAGTAAATGAACCTAAGTCAAAGAAAGGACTTCACAGCTCGTTAAATGGGATCATCTGAGTCGCTGGCTGCTATTCACAACCCTCACCACTAGATACACACTGAACCTTTAATGGTCAGGAGAGCTCATAGTACCTTACTACCCCACCAGAGCACTGCGCTCCCAGAATGCACCTGTGGTTCCTAGAGTCTCCAAAAGTAGACTAGGAGCCAGAGCGTTCAGCTATCAAGCTCCTCTCCTGTGGAACCAGGTTCCAGTTTAAAGCTTAAAGGCCAATTTATACCTCTAGTCTACACAGTAGCAGACGTTGTAGGATATGTAAATGAAATTGAACTGAATTTATTTGAAAGTCTGTTGACTTTGATCAGTTTTATGTGTACCTGGTTCTCAGCTAGCGCCTCCTTGGCCATGTAGTGCTCCCTCTTTATCTTCATCTCCACCTCCTCTGGGATGTCAGGGACCATCAGGTCGATCAGATGTCCGATGAAATAGACCACGTGCTGAGGAAGAAAGACAGGAAGAGCCTTCATCGGGTCACGGCAGCAACTTTACTGTCCCTCATTATCTGATTCTCTGCTTCACACAGAGGAAAAGTCATTTTTACAGATTCAGAATGTTAATTTATTGCTGAGATTCTCACTCTCTCTAGATGTTTTCCTAAAACAAATCTTGACACTGACCTCAAACACAATGACGAAACTGAGTCGTATGGCGAGGAGGTGAAAGTACTCTGGCAGGTATTTACCTTCTTCATCCCTGAGATCCTGATACCTGCAAAGTGATGCACCGTAAATATGAAGTCATGTCACTGACAGAGAGCTCCGGTTCTGCTTCATCAGCAAAATTAGCACTAGGTGGACCTGCACGGCCTGCAGTCCCGCCTACCTGCAGGACTGGTGCTGCTGGCTGTAGTTGCGCGGTGATGTTGCGAGCGTGAAGTTGATGAAGCCCTTCAGCGTGCTGTCTCTGGTGTAGCGGTAGTACAGACGAGGCAGGAAGGAGGAGGTGAACGCTATGAGGAAAGCCTAAAAACAGAGGTTTGAAAAAGCTTCGATGGGCTGCTGATCTGCCCTCAGACGTCTCTAACCGGTCCTCACAAAGACAGACACACAGGTACACAGAAAGTCTTACATTGCTGAGGACGGCTATGTGTGTGATGAACTGCATGATGGAGAACCAGATGCCGATGTCCTGAGCTCGCTCCACCACCGGGCGCCGATATTCAGTCACGAACTTCTGCGCGTCCAAACGGATCTCCACACAGTTATTAATAAAAGCGAAGAGAGGAGCGAGAGGACACGCCGCCACGAAGATGGTGATGAAACCAAACTGAATCACTGAGGAGAACGAGGAGGATTTACACCTCACAGGAAGTCACAGTCCTCTACTCAGTCTCCCAGAACCCCATTTCAGCCAATCACAACACAGAAAGTGTATCCTCAATGTGTTAACTCCACCCATCCACCACCTCCAGGTGTTTAAATCTAACAGGACAGGACTTACCCATCTCCAAGTATTCGTCAAAGAGTCCCTCACAGACCAGCAGCTGGTAGTCGGCCTCCCAGGGAGAAACCTCCTCCTTTCCCTTCTCCTTCACCTCCTCTCCTTCCTTCTCCTTCTTCTGCCCTCGACTTATCTTCCTCTTCTGCCACCACGACTTCAACTTCCTGCCAATAAATGAGAGTCAAAACTCTTAATCCCTAAAATCCTGCAGCATGTTTTATTAAACAGCTCACATGACTTTTGAGGTAGTTAGTATCTTGTTCATGCACGTTATATCATCTTGTGTGTTTGTGTTTGTTTTTACGGGCTGATGAACTCCTGGATGTTGTTGATCAGTTGTTTTCCCACCATGATGACCAGCATCTCCTGGGCCAGTTCAATGAGACATCCACCTGCTCCACACTGTGACACACAGACAGAAACAAATGAAAGTTGTCATTAAAGCCCGAGCATTAAACCTGCGAGGACCCTATTGAAACTTAAGGTGTTCGTTTTCTTTCTTTCTTGCAAATGAAACATTTTGGGCGGTCTAAACATGCTAGAAAACTCGTGAAACTTTGCACAAAATTCAAACGCGGTGAAAATGTACAAAACGTTTTGTGTCAGATGTGTCATGTTCAGAAAAGCCTCTTAAGGTGTCTTCACACTGAAAGCGAATCCAGCGTTTTGGGCGGCTTGATAACACAAAGTCAATAAAAAGACGCAAATTCGCTCCGGGCGGCGCGAAAGAATAGAATAGAAGAGAACAAAACTTTATTGTCAATGTTTGGTAACAACGAAACACTGTTTAGCAGCTCTGGGTCGATAAATACAGCAATATAAGAAATAAATAAAAACCAAGACATGGTGTGTAACAATACAAGAAAAAGATAAATCTAGACAATATAAAACAAACAGCAGAAAAGCCGCAAATACGAAAATACTAAAGCAGAATTTTAGTCTGTCAGTCTTTGTTCTGATTGCTCTGTATCTCCTTCCAGAGCGCAGGATGGAGAACAGGTGATGTCCGGGGTGGGTGGGGTCTTTTATGAGACAGCTAGCTTTTCTTTGAAGTCGGTTAATGTAGGTGTCCTCGATGGGGGGTAGTGTTGTCCCAATGGCCAGCTCTGCCGCAAAAGTGTTTGACCCCCTTTCGCCTTCAGAACTGCCTTAATTCTACGTGGCGTTGATTCAACAAGGTGCTGAAAGCATTCTTTAGAAATGTTGGCCCATATTGATGGATAGCATCTTGCAGTTGATGGAGATTTGTGGGATGCACATCCAGGGCACGAAGCTCCCGTTCCACCACATCCCAAAGATGCTCTATTGGGTTGAGATCTGGTGACTGTGGGGGCCATTTTAGTACAGTGAACTCATTGTCATGTTCAAGAAACCAATTTGAAATGATTGGAGCTTTGTGACATGGTGCATTATCCTGCTGGAAGTAGCCATCAGAGGATGGGTACATGGTGGCCATAAAGGGATGGACATGGTCAGAAACAATGCTCAGGTAGGCCGTGGCATTTAAACCATGCCCAATTGGCACTAAGGGGCCTAAAGTGTGTCAAGAAAGTTGTTGTTGTAGCCCATCTGCCTCAAGGTTGTGCGTGTTGTGGCTTCACAAATGCTTTGCTGCATACCTCGGTTGTAACGAGTGGTTATTTCAGTCAAAGTTGCTCTTCTATCAGCTTGAATCAGTCGGCCCATTCTCCTCTGACCTCTAGCATCAACAAGGCATTTTCGCCCACAGGACTGCCGCATACTGGATGTTTTTCCCTTTTCACACCATTCTTTGTAAACCCTAGAAATGGTTGTGCGTGAAAATCCCAGTAACTGAGCAGATTGTGAAATACTCAGACCGGCCCGTCTGGCACCAACAACCATGCCACGCTCAAAATTGCTTAAATCACCTTTCTTTCCCATTCTGACATTCAGTTTGGAGTTCAGGAGATTGTCTTGACCAGGACCACACCCCTAAATGCATTGAAGCAACTGCCAAGTGATTGGTTGATTAGATAATTGCATTAATGAGAAACTGAACAGGTGTTCCTAATAATCCTTTAGGTGAGTATATATGTACCATTTTTCATTTAGTCTATAGCAACATTAGCTTCACTGTCTGTACCTCTGTGTGTGGATATTGTGTAGGCTGCCTCCCTCTCTCTCTCTCTCTCTCTCTCTCTCTCTCTCTCTCACCCCAACTGGTCGAGGCAGATGGTCGCCCACCCTGAGCCATGGTTCTGCTCGAGGTTTCTGCCTCTTAAAAGGAAGTTTTTCCTTGCCTCTGTCGCCTAGTGCTGCTCTTGGTGGGAACTGTTGGGCTTCTGTAAATAACATCACAGAGTTCGGTCTAGACCTGCTCTTTATGAAAAGCGCTGTGAGATAACTGTTGTGATTTGGCGCTATATAAATAAAATTTATGAATTGAACTTCATGAACTGGGATATAAGGTATAATTTGTGGATGTTCTCTAGCGCCACATAGAGGGCACAGGAGGTGATGTTTATTTGCTTCGTGAGGCGTCCAAAACGCATGATAATTTGGAGCCACGTCTCCCGACCTGCGCCCGGGCGGCAACACGCTGCGAGGACCTGTCCAACGTTGCTTGCAGCTTTATTGAACACAATTTCAAACCCAGAAATAAATATTTGAGAGAAAGGTTTTTTAAATGTGAACAGGGGAAGAGGGGAGGTCGAAGGCGATGTGGCAGGAGAGGGCAGAAGGTGGTGAGTCATGGCGGATGGTAACCGGAGCGTGCAGGGAGAATGAGTGAGGCTGACGTGGCCGGTTTGGCACGGCTGGTGGAAGAATGGGATCCTGAGGCAAAAGGTGAAACTGAGTTTTTCAGACAAGCAAACAAACGAGGAGGAATTATTACAGACTAGCAAAAATCTCAAGCTGGCCTGAAGGTACTGCTGCAGTAGCTGACTGAACGATCTGGCGATGAGTGGCTGAAAGACCAGGGCTGATATACTGAGGGGCTGATTAGAAGCATGTTTGTGTCATTAACAGCATGCTCTTTATGAAAGTCCCAGACGAGAGCGGCTTCCAGAATAAGCCGGTGATATCTGCAGGAAAGTGACTGAAACAGAACGCTCGACAGGCCGGGAACCGGGAGCTGAAAGAGTGTTTCCGTAACACGTTAGCAGAGAGGTTTGTGTCCACAACCTCCGTGAGAACGTGGTCATGATGGCCCAAGAGGTTACCTTGATTAGTAAGGGGTGGATGAAGATCCTGAGTGTAGCGGTTGTCCGATAGAGATTGTCTGAGTCCATGTTGGCCAGAACATTCAGTTACTCAAACCAGGCAGTCGTAGTAGAATAAAATAGTTTTTATAGTGAACAGGGGGAAAGGGGAGGTGGGCGGAGATGTGGCGATCTGGCTGGAGAAGGCAGAGGGTGGTGAGTAATGGCGGATGGTAACTGGAGCAGGCCAAGGGGAAAAGGAGTTTCTCAGAGAAGCAAACAAACAACAACTAGGAATTTCAACATCCAACAAAAAATGCAGTAGCTGACTGAGCGATCTGACGATGAGGGAGTGAAAGGCCGGGGTGATTTAGTGAAGGGCCGACGAGCTGATGCGAAGCAGATATGTGTCACTGGCAGGTTACGAGAATCCAAGTTAGGAGAGCGAGAGCAACCAACAGCACTGTGACCTCTCATCGCCGTTTCCTGCTAAACGTGTCACGCGTCAGCAAACTCACTTCCTTGTTCAGAAGACACCAGCAGACGTGTGCGACGCCAACGTCTCACATTTAGGTACAACAATAACAGCAAAGGGGACCGTGAAGACTCAGGATCCAGATCTTCTTTACCAAAGCGGGGAAACTGTTCTGCAGAGCGTGCAGCGTCGTGGTCGAACATAAAGGAGATCGTCTCCTGACGAACGCTTTGAGAGAGAACGTCAGAAACTCACGGAGGACGTCAGACGAGACGCTGAGACGCTGAGGCTGCTGCGTCCCGGTGTTGTGCCAAATTCTGCACGAGAATTTCTTGCACCTCGCGGGTGGTAACGCTCATTTTGCTGAGAAAAGAGGTGGATGCAAATCTCGGCAGGTAGCCTTGATCATCTGTTCTGCAGAAATATGCATCCACCTTTTCAGACACTTTGCTGTGCACACTGATCAAGGTTTTCACCACTTATTTACATTTATTCGTTTAGCTGACACTTTTATCCAAAGCGACTTACAATTGCTATACGAGGGTTTAAGTGTCTTGCTCAGGGACACAACGGTGGTCACACCAAAAGCATATGTATTATCCACTGCTCCATCCCCACCCTTATTTTTGCTGAATCTCACTGAATGCCACTTCTACTAAGTGTAATAAAATATTAACCACTCAAAACATTCATAAAATATATACTTTGAATCATTTATCAGCATTGATGAACCCCACAAACAACATTATAGCATTTAAAAGCAGTATTTGGAGACGCACGCAATTCTCGGCAGGCATGCAAAATTTGGCATAACACCGGGTCAGCTGCAAGAAAGAACCACGGTCAGCTGGTTTAAATATTCAGGGTTAGGGTTAGGCCCGCCAAGTCCTGGAGGGACTGTTTAATGATTCAACTACAATTCTAAAGTTAAAAACATCACATCTAACTACGCAGTTTTCACTTATTCCCACAATGAAATCGTAACGTAAATTATTTATTTATATTATATATTTATATATAACTGTTTTCTGAAAAATGGGCCAACAAACGACCCATAAAGCAGGGACAGCGGCCCATTGGGTAATTTTCTATACTGACACTGGGCCGGCCATCACATCTCTTACTGGCCCTCACCTCCTCTGCTCTGTTTCTTGCGTTGCGGGCCAAAAAATTAAAATTCTTCAAATGTAGGACACCAAATGCGCAAAAATAACCGGTCTGTTTGCTGCAGGAGCTTCAACATCAGCTGCAGTACCCGACGTAGAGCAGCCACAGGGACCTGAAGGAGTAATGAAGAGTCGTGGCCCCTGCCAGGCAGAGGAGGAGGCGTGTTAGCGAGTGACAAAGTGACAGGGCTGAGTGAGAGAGAGAGCAGGAGGAGGTGAAGCTGTAAGCATGGAGTAGCTCAGCCTGTAGGTAGGGAGCAGGGAGGGAGAGTCATTTACACCTGGGACGCCGGGGACGCCGAGGACGCTGAGGATTTGTTAAAAATCTTCTGAAAACTAGTTTGCACCAAGAAATGTTGATTAACAAATAAAAATGCCATGAGAAGTTTTAATTGCACAACAAGCCTGCAATGCATTTTAAATATAGAAGAAATCCTTGTAACTTAAGTATTGTACTTAATATAACTGCATTATATTCTATTATATATATTTATATTCTGAATTGTCATATTCTGAATTTTTCCACCATAAATTGGTGCAGAAAATGTCTCCAGAATGCAGGAATTTAAGTGTTTAATGCTATAAATCTGCTGGGGGAGAAACCCTATAAAATATTTCATCAATAAATATTTTTCCTACATAGTAGGCTTATTAAAATATATTCTTGTCTTGTAGTCATGGACGCTGGTGTATTGGTAAGGGGTGTCCGACCGAGTTAGGTGGGCCGCCAGGGCCAAAAATGCCAGGACCAATTTTTTGTCCCAGTCCAGCCCTGTACATATATCTGATCATCTTCATCAGTACCACAATGTGTCAGACTCACGTCTTCGTTGCGAACTCCAAACGGAGTGTTGTAGTTTCCAGGGTACCCAATGAACCTGAACAACAAACAAACAAACAAACGGCTGGTTAAACCTTTAACATATCAGTATCATTTATTCTGTCTATCATGTTGTTGCAGCTGCTCATTGAAGCTCTCGGATGTTTGACTCTGCATCACTATATTCCACATATCTGCTGCTTCACATCTTTAGCTGCCAGCAGAACGTGTTACGACAGAGACTGAGGTTTTAAATGAACTGTGAGAAAAAAAACTACTGGATGTTTTCATCATCCGCCTGCAGGAGGCGCTGTGGCTCCTCCTTTAATTTTCACTTTTCACTTCAGCAAGTTCACAAACCAGCTGACAAAACAACATGCAGACTCTCAGGCGAGAATCTGCATCCACACCAGCACCCAACCTTCCTGATGACATTCACTAAATACATCCAAAGAAACAAACAAAAAAAGACAGGACGAAAAGGCTTGTGGTGATGACGCTGTGAGGCCTGTTGTGATTGGCTGGACCTGTGAGCTTTGTTCTGATTGGTTGAAGCAGTGCTCACCTGCCTTTGAAGAAGGCGATGTAAACCGGAGATGAGTAGAAGTTGACAAACTGGAAGATGAAAACTTTGAGGATGAACATGTCTTCATATTTAGTTTGAGTCCGATGCATCTCTTAAAGAAACACACACAGAAATGTTGTAACAACATCCGAACACACCCACAACGTCTATATACTTAGTAAATACAATAATACTACACTCAATACACACAGTGTAGATCTACACACATTTCATCTGGTCATTACCTGTTACCTTCTTTAAAGAACAGCTTTGTCCTCCAAAACCATCAGTATTATAAACTTCTCTGACACTGCTGCTCGGCTAAGTACATTTAAGTTAACGTGGTTTCATTTAAACATTTAAACTTTATGATTATACCCTTATTTTTTAGGAGACAAACATATTGTCCAGTTTATGTTGCACATTTAGTTTTTAACTTTATTGCACAAAGTTTCTGTCGTCTTTTCTGGTCTTATGTTCACTGCACATCCCTAAAGACATTAAAAGTTATGGTTATGTTTCCATAATGTTTACTTTCCTACCTATTAGCTAGAATAAAGCCTCACAATCTAACATTCCTGAAGGGTTTTTTATTATTGATAAGCAAAGTGATAAGAGCAGTCTCTCTCTCTCTCTCTCTCTCTCTCACCCAAAAGGTCGAGGCAGATGGTCGCCCACCCTGAGTCCTGGTTCTGTTCAAGGTTTCTCTCCCTCCTAAAAGGGACTTCATCCTTGCCTCTGTGACCAAGTGCTTGCTCATGGTGGGAATTGTTGGGTTATGAAAAGTGCAATGAGATGCCGTAAAACTTTGATAAATAGCCCGGGCTTTTATTTTCTAATTTCTAATATTTTTGAATTGACCCTGCCTATATTTGGGACGGGCCTTTAATTCCTCTCACACAAAACTGATACAGGCTACTATTAAACAGCTTATTTATTTCAAACAGAATATTACTTGTATAAAAATTATCCAATAATATCAAACAGACGTCATTCATTTGATCTACAACAATACAACAGACGGCTTATGGGCTTTTATTTTGAAGGCAGCAACGTGAGGAATCTTTAACTATGTAAATACTGTACATATCCACACTCATTTATATTTTCTTTATTTTATATTTTTACTCTGATATTTATATACTTCTTTATATACCAACTTTCTGTCTTTATTTATATTCCTTTTGCCTTTTGTGCAATGTGTGCAACTGTGACACAGAATTTCCCCCCAGGGATCAATAAAGTATTTCTGATTTCTGATTCTGAAAACAACAACAGGCTGCAGGATGAGAGAAGTGTGGCAGAAGTTAGCAGACAGAGAGCAATGGACTTCTCACAACTGGATTCACAACTTTGATTAATTTTTCTGAAAAGCGCTTGTGATTCTTTTGATGGGTGGAGCCTCACAGACTGAAGGAAGATAAATAATCAGGAACGGACACATTTGGACTGAACGAGGCTTCAAAGGTAACGGGAGTTTCATCTCTTGTACCAGGCAGGTTACAGCGGTAAATCTATCAGAATTAGACTTTGGGGCCCGTTGTTTCCGTTAAATGAACTGAACTATTGAATTGTGGAGAATCTAACCGATCTAACGACGTGCAGCATGTCCACACTGACATATTGGTCATACGTTTAAACATTAATATTTGTATTAACGATCTAAGCAGCTAGAGAGGCGACCCGGTGGGGTTTAAGAGGTTTTATACATCCAGAGAACTGTTATGAGTTTTTTGCCATTGTTTCATGTGTCCTTTTATTTACCTGTTTCTCTCGTTCCTTGTCCTTAGTAGTTTATGTCTTGTCTTTTATCTTAGCTCTTGGTCCTGTGTTTTAGTTCTTTGTCTTTGTTCCCAGTCCTGTGCCTTGATTCATGTTTTAGTATTTACTTCAGGTTCCTTGTCTGCATTATTTTAGTTTACTCTGCATGTGTCTGAGTTTATGTCTGATCTGTTACATCTTGTGAAATGGCCTGTGTTTAGTGTTCAGTAACCTGTGTTGTGTCTGTTACCCCAGTATCCCTCTGCATGTCAGTCTCTCTGTTTTCCCCTGCTCTCTCTCTGCCTGCCTGTGTCTCGTTAGTCTCATGTCTGTCACCTGTGTTACTCCTGCCCTGCTCGTTAGTCCCTGGTGTATATATGTTTGGTGTTTCTCTTCAGTCTTCATCTGGTCATTGTTTGTTACCCCCTGTCTGTCATGTGTATACGCTCTGTCTCCTGTTGTCAGCCTTGCTCGTCTTGTCACTCTGTTCCTTTGGATTTCTGTTGGGATTACCTTGTTTTTTGGACTCTGTCAGTAAGTGTGCTCGCCTTTTGTTTGTTTTGCCACAATAAACCCCCTTTGAACTGTACCTCCTCTGCCTTGCGTTCCGCATTTGGGTCCACCAACAATCTCTGCACCACAAACCCTAACAAGAACTTCTATTAAAAACCAGACCAGGCTTTTAATGGAGACCTGCGTTTATTTGTCAAAATGTGTTCCCACACCAGGCCAGTAAACGGGGCAGGAGGCTGTTTGGGACTCGGCTATTTATTGTTAAGTTTTACGGTAATGTAACGTTTCCCAACACGAGGTAATTAGCTTGTTAAAATGATTTAAATAAGTTAGAAAAATCCCAAAACAAAAGTTTTTCTACAAAGAAGCAAACAAAAATTGCACTTTTACAAAACTTGCTACGTTTTTAGACAACTTTCATTATCTGTTATTATCATTTTAAAGATCACTTTAAAAATTAAACAAATAGTCATGGGTGTAGATTTGGTCTACTTCCCCCTAATGTGACGTAGACTCTAGGGGAGCACATTAAAATGATCTAAGGCTGCGTTCAGACTGTAGGCCTTCATGCTCAATTCTGATTTTTAGCCCAAATCCGAACTGGAAAACATCAGATTCGATGTGACCTGGCCTGTTCACACTGTCATAAAAAGATCAGATCTGAGTCACATATGAGCACAAAAATCGGTTTTGGGTCACTTTGGCCTGCAGTCTGAACGTAACCTAATATGACTTCAAAGACAATTCGAACGACTCTGCTCACATATTGGTAGGGACATGTCCCTACCCTCCATAAGCAAACCTACGCAGAACTTAATGCAGACTAAAACCAAAGATGAGGACGGTGAGTAAGAAGATGTGACTCACCCCAGCGGGTGAGGATGCGGGCCAGTGAGATGTAAACTCTGGACAACATGAGGATGACCAACAGGTTCAAAACAGATCCTGAAATACTGGCTATCCTCCCAGCCTAAACACACACACAGAAAACACACTTTTTGATTTGGTAGATTTACAAACAGTTACAGAAATGTGAAGTAAATGAGTTGCGGAGTCCCTCAGGGAAACATCCTGGAGCCTCTGTTCTTTTTATTTAACCATATATATAAATTTAAAGAAACTGTACTGTGCTGTACTCACCGAAAAAGTGAGGAAGCTGTTGCGAGACTTGGAGATGATGATGCCAATGATGGTGCGATACAGAATGATGGTGATGAGGAACATCAGCACCACAGCAACCTGCACACAGAAAGTTTGACTTACCACTAAACACAACCTAGAATATGTTGTTTCTGTAAGTGCCAAATCCGTACCGCCAGCAAGATCCGTTCTGCACATGCAGTGGTTCTGTCAGTCAAAGAAGGTCACCGCAAATCTGCCTCTTCTAAATGATCCAACTAAATATTTTATATCAAGATAACAATTTTTTTTAATCACTGGAGATGAAACTGTTCACTATGATGTAATAGGAATATACTTTAGATATGAAAAACCTTATTCAACAGTACATTCTTAATTGACAACAATCTAACAAAGTAGCAACAGAAAGGAGGCTAACTCTAGCTGCTAGCACATTGGCCGTCAACCGATGTGCACAGCTGTAGGGTTAGCCAGTCCATATGAGCATATAAATGCTGACTTAGGTTTAGGCACTCCTGTGATGGTTAGGTTTAGGGTAAGGTGCTTTGGGAAGCTGTCAACGCCTTTTATACTAATGGTAGCCCTATCTAGACCGGAAGCGCTAGTAGTAGTTCCGGTCTAGCGTCTCATTCAGACATACCCGGAGGCTCATACGGACGATGAAAGGTACCTTTTGCATCAACTAAGGCTTTGTCAGCCTTTCTGAAAGCGTCAGTATTTGATGCCCTGAGATGAGGACAGACAACAACTCACAAATAATTATGAACAGGTACATTTGTGGTAACCTTCTTTGGCAGACAGGACCACTTTTGCGTATGTGCAGAACGGATCTTGCTGGCGGTACGGATTTGGCACTTACACCTTGTCTTCCTCATAAGTTATTTTAAACGTTTCTGCTCCCATACCACACCTGCCATCACTGATTTTATTGTAAGATTCAAAATGAAGACATGTTCAGAGACAAATTTGTGTTTTCGAAAGAGAGGAAAGGAGTCCTCCATGCACGCCAAAGTTAGTCATGGAGTTCCACAAGGATCTGTCCTTGGATCCTTCACTTTATATATGCTTCCTTTAGGCAATATTATCAGGAAATATTCCATAAGCTTTCATTGTTATGCAGATGATACTCAGTTATATCTATCGATCAAGCCAGATTAAACTCATCAGTTAGCTAAACTTCAAATGTGCTTTCAGGATGTTAAAACCTGGATGACCTGTAATAATGTTAAACTGAAGTTATTGTTCTGGGGCCCAAGCACCTCCGTGACGCATTATCTAAAGATATAGTTTCCCTTGATGGCATCGCCCTGGCCTCCAGCACCACTGTGAGGAATCTTGGAGTTATCTTTGATCAGGACATGTCGTTTAAGTCTCACATTAAGCAAATTTCAAGGACCGCCTTTTTTCACCTACGTAATATTGCAAAAATCAGGAACATCCTGTCTAAAAATGATGCAGAAAAACTAGTCCATGCATTTATTACTTCTAGGCTGGATTACTGCAATTCCTTATTATCCTTATTATAATATAACTCCAACCATTGTTCGATGTCATCACCCCCAGTGGATGGTGCGGAAACCCTCCAAACTGTCCCAGTGTCAGACTAGTCAGAGGTTAAGGGTCAGAGGCCAGGAGACTCACCATGGTGATGATGATCATGCAGCCGGTCAGAGTTCTGTTGAGTCGTTTACTTTCAGGGAAGTATGGTTCCTCTGCTCCGGTCACCGGGTTCCTCATGGTCATCGGCGCCATGGCGGTAAACTCTGGACGAGGGCGCTCCTGTTAACAACACATATGAACACCCCAAAACCCTTGAGATAAAAAATATTTATTAGCATTAGGGTTGGTTATTGTTTAAAATCTTACGATACCAGAACCAAAACCAGTACCCTTAAAGTGATCCTGATACCAACAGGGTACTTCTTTCGATACCTTGCATAAAATGCCACGTGTTGAAGCCACAGTAGTTGATTGGTAGCCTATAATTATTTTAATTATTGTTACGGACAAGCAAGATGATCTATTTCATTTTTTGTTACATAAAAGTAACAGTTTATGGTGCAGACACATAAAGGAAAAAAGGCGTGCTTGTCTCTTTCTTTAAGTGCGTTGTTTGCGTGTTTGGCTGCAAGCAAAACCATACAAATAGTCATTTTTTACGGTGATCTGGCTACAAAAAGTATGGATTGAAGTACTGGTTTGACTGGAGACGTTTTGATTTTACTCGATACTGGGCTGTTTCGGTTGATACCATAAAGGTACCGAGTAGCAATGCCCATCCCTAATTAGCATAATTTCTTTATCAATAATATAAGACAGCCAAATTTTGCCTTTCTGTGGTTGCCTTTCAAGTATTCATACTCATAACCCCAAAGCTTTGTATGCTATCTTAAATCAGCACTTTGTAATCTATGTTACTTAGTTTTACTTACTTTATGTTTTTAAGTGCGACAGGTGTGGTGTGAGACAGGTACCTCAATGTCCTGGAATTCGGAGCAGCCCCAGCGGTGAGTCAGAGTTGAACAACTTCTCTTCCAGTACTCCAGGAAGGTGACGGACCACAGAGCCATGAAGACACTGAGAAACACTGTTCCTCCATTATCAAACAAAAGACCAACCTACAGAGACAGACAGGTCAACAGACAAGTGAATTTACTGTGTTCAGACAGAACGCACAGCAGATTTTGGAGGTGGTGATTGCATAGTCAGATGTGAATTCACCCATTAACATTGAGTGAAAATGCTGAAGAGCCTTAAACATGCATTCTCTCTAACAGCCAGCAGGGGGCGACTCTGCCGGGTGCAGAAAGAAGTGTGATTGTATAGAAGTCTATGAGAAAATGTTTCTACTTGTCAGCTGATTTATTCCCTCAGTAAACACTTTCCTGATGAGTTTCTGGTCTCAGTCGCTAGTTTCAAGTCTTCTTCAACACAGCATGATGTTCATTTAGTAAATTATGGTCCCATTTAGAGGAACAGAGACCAGGAAGCAGGGGAGGCTTTAGGGCGGGGCTACAAGCTGATTGAAAAAGCTGTTCTACCATCTGACAAGTAGTGAACTGATGAAACATACTGACACCAATCCAGACAGGTGGATAGGTGGACAGACAAGTACCTTGTAGGTGAGACAGATGCTGGAGTAGTTCCAGTGGGAGCAGATGTTACAGAGAGGACACATGATGAAGCTGTTCCCACTGTCACACAACTCCATCCTACACAAAAACACACACCAATAAATAGTCAACAGGCATTTCACTGCTGATACCATGCAGGTGATCTGTAAGGGTCTTTACCATACTAAGGCTACATCCACCATTAATACATTTTAAAGAGGTGGTATTCTGCTTTTTGTTTTTTTCCATCTCCTTTATTGAGTTATAAACCTTTTTTGTGCATGTAACAGGTTTGCAAAGTGAAAAAGCCCAAAGGGAGTTCCCATCTCCCACAGAAAACTCTGCTCTGAACTGAAAACAGCTCGTTTATAGTCCAGCCGCTTCCCTTTCATTCCTGTGACGTCACAGGGATGAAAGCTAAACGCGCCTCATATAACGCTCGCCGAGCGGCTACTCCGACACGCCCTCAGAAACAGTGAGCTGCACACACCGTGTTGCCGAGCCGGTCGGCAACACACACGGCTGAACCCGAGCTGTTTACCGGCTTCTCGCTGACCCGCCCTTCTCTGCTTCTGATTGGTTAGTAGTCCTTAACTAGGAACTGAGCATGTGCAACTCCCAACAAAGATCATTTAAAGACAAGATGTATCACTCCATAGCAAAGAGGAGCTGCAGCAATGTGACAAAAAATTTATCATGTAAACCTGTTCTGGTGCAACCCCTAAATAGGAACCTTAAAATGAGCATAATACCACCTCTTTAAATAAAACAATCTCCATCCACACCAGCGTTGAAGCTGCATATCAGAATTAGTTGTCCTAAAATAACTGAAAACATGACCATTCAAGTACACTGGGCTTGCGTCTGCTGGTGTGTACAGGAAGAAGATTGTCTACTCATCTGACCCAATCAGGAAGCCAAATGTGAGCGTCTGTACTGTGGTTTAAAGGTGCAGTCCGCAATAATGCAATACCCCGGAGTTTTAAAACAAACATAGGGTTAGCAGCGTTTGGATTTGCCAATATAGTGTGGACGGAAGGCCTGAATGTAGCAAAAGTGCTGCGTTTCTGTGAAAAGGTAGTAGTGTGGATGTAGCCTAAGAAGACCACGTGTAGATAAAGCTGAGTATCGTCAGTATATTATCAGAGAGAAATATATTTGTAAATTATTTGTCCAAGAAGAAAAACTGCTTACAAAAAAAACAGGGTTCAAGATGAATCACCTGAAAGTATCATTAAAAAATGATTTAAAAAAATGGATTTTGGATAACAATGACTAAAATTATATACTAGTTGATTCCTGAATGTCTCAGGCCCAATCTCAATGTCCCCCATAAAACCCATGAACCATCACAGATTTATTTGGTGCTTGTCTATTTACCGTTCTTCTTCTTTCTTCTCGTATAAAGCAGGATAGCTCTCGCTTTGGGATTCCCCTGCTAACCCCTGTGTTTCACTTCAATCAATCACAGTCCCAGTCTGCAGAAATGCAGTCTTACCAAACAGGGTGCGTAAAGGGCTTAAAATGTCTGAGAGAGATCCCTCATGCACCAGACAATCTGATAGCGAGACAGTCCTAAGAACTGATGGACTTACCGGGAACGTGCCTCAAAGTCTGTGAGTGTGGACATTTGAGATTTGGCCTTAGCCCTACTCAAATTGTAAAACAAAGTATTTGACTGTTTATACTTACGCTGGAACATCAGTGGCCACGACCCAGAACCCAAACAAGAAGATCACAGTCCCAACGAGAGCCGCCGGCAACAGCCAGCCCGTGTAGAAACCTACAGTCAGACATAGTTACTGTTAAAGCAAACAGCAGACAGTTGGTAGCAGCTAGTTAGTGACTGGCGTGTTTGCTATAGTTACCGAGCCAGGCAAAGTAAAGGGCTATCTTCTCTCCAAAGTACTCCCTGATGTGATGCAGAGGTTGGTAGCGTTTAAAGCAGGACCACCGGGCCCAGTATGTATACAGGATCTGTCTCAGACCTAAAGACTGGGGGGGCACCGGAGGGTTTGGAGGCTTGAAACCTCCCTGTAAACACAGTATATAAGCAGAATATAGGTTTGATGGTCAGTCTGGATCCCTGTGCTGCTGTCATCAGTCACAATTTGTCCATTTTGTGAAGTTTGATATTAATTATTGGAACTTTAAATGTCCGGGTTTAATAATGAAACAGGATAAAAAGTTTCCTGATGGTGACCAGGTAATAGGGCTAAGGGTGGTGTCGGGGTTTGGGTTTAGGGTTTAGGGTTAGGGTTTGGAGCTCACCTCATGCAGCGGGTAGGCAGCAGTGAAGACCTGCTCACTCAGCAGTCGGTCGATTCCCACCCTTCCCTTTTTCACTGAACCGTACCGGGTCCGGGCCAGGATCTCATACAGCTGGAGGGACAGGACACATGTATGCACAAAGAACTAAAACAAACAACCCTCTGATCCTTTCTTAGACCCATAGTCCTGATGTCACTATATAACATCTACATCAGTGGAGCGGAGGTGGAGCAGGTGAACAGTTTTAGTTTCCTGTTAATCAGCGTCTCAGAGAAACTGACATGGTCGTCTCACATCTCCACACTGGTGAAGAAAGCTCAGACACGGCTGGATTCATTAAGGAAACTTAAGAAGGCTTAAATCCTGTGCCAAGTTCCAGCACGTTTTTATCCCAGGGTGTCAAATACTGACACTATGAGAAAACCTGACAGTCGGCTTTGATGCACAAAGTACCCTTCAGCGTCCAGACACCTTGGCTTTCAAGTAACTCCAATGTATCCCATCCGCCATCATGTAATGTACTGATTCCAACCCAAAACCATGATCTTTTCCTAAACCTAAAGGCGTCTCATGCAGACCCTGAAGGGTACCTTGTGCATCAAATACTGAAAGCATTCTCAAAGTGTTGCTATTTGAATGTGTTACAAGTTCTGATGAACAACAGAAAGCATCCTGACCGGAAACATCACTAACAGATATGGGATGCGCACGGTCCAGGACCGGAGGGCTCCGCAGCGGGTGATTCAGGGCGCTTTCACACATGTAGTTCGGTTCATTTGGTCTGGACCAAGTGAAAAACATGGTACACTGAAGAAGTACAAGAGAAGTAACCGTGACGTTACACAGACTGACAGGTAATTTGTTGATTGGACAGCTTTGGCGATTGTCATCCTGCATCATCAGGACCCACGTGGGGAAATCAAACTCCGACTGACAGACGTTTATGTAGCACTTTAATGCTTCTGATCTGTATTGCAAAGAGCTCACGAAGTGAGAATTTATTCTAAGCATGATTAATAATGTCAGCAGAACAGCAGATCGACCGCATAGCCCACAAATAAACCGCAGAAGATCATTGGTACCCATCTCCTGAGCACCACTGATATCGGTGAGGTGAGGTGCCTACAGAGCCCAAAGAATATAAAAAGGACAGAACCCCCTCAGCCACATCCTGTTCACCCTGCTGCCTTCTGGGAAGAGATAGAGAGATACAGGGATTGGACAATGAAACTGAAACACCTGGTTTTAGACCACAATAATTTATTAGTAAGGTGTAGGGCCTCCTTTTGCAGCCAATACAGCGTCAATTCGTCTTGGGAATGACATATACAAGTCCTGCACAGTGGTCAGAGGGATTTTAAGCCATTCTTCTTGCAGGATAGAGGCCAGGTCACGACGTGATGCTGGTGGAGGAAAATGTTTCCTGACTCGCTCCTCCAAAACACCCCAAAGTGGCTCAATAATATTTAGATCTGGTGACTGTGCAGGCCATGGGAGATGTTCAACTTCACTTTCATGTTCATCAAACCAATCTTTCACCAGTCTTGCTGTGTGTATTGGTGCATTGTCATCCTGATACACGGCACCTCCTTCAGGATACAATGTTTGAACCATTGGATGCACATGGTCCTCCAGAATGGTTCGGTAGTCCTTGGCAGTGACGCGCCCATCTAGCACAAGTATGGGGCCAAGGGAATGCCATGATATGGCAGCTCAAACCATCACTGATCCACCCCCATGCTTCACTCTGGGCATGCAACAGTCTGGGTGGTACGCTTCTTTGGGGCTTCTCCACACCGTAACTCTCCCGGATGTGCGGAAAACAGTAAAGGCGGACTCATCAGAGAACAATACATGTTTCACATTGTCCACATCCCAAGATTTGCGCTCCTTGCACCATTGAAACCGACGTTTGGCATTGGCACGAGTGACCAAAGGTTTGGCTATAGCAGCCCGGCCGTGTATATTGACCCTGTGGAGCTCCCGACAGACAGTTTTGGTGGAAACAGGAGAGTTGAGGTGCACATTTAATTCTGCCGTGATTTGGGCAGCCGTGGTTTTGTGTTTTTTGGATACGATCCGGGTTAGCACCCGAACATCCCTTTCAGACAGCTTCCTCTTGCGTCCACAGTTAATCCTGTTGGATGTGGTTCGTCCTTCTTGGTGGTATGCTGACATTACCCTGGATACCGTGGCTCTTGATACATCACAAAGACTTGCTGTCTTGGTCACAGATGTGCCAGCAAGACGTGCACCAACAATTTGTCCTCTTTTGAACTCTGGTATGTCACCCATAATGTTGTGTGCATTGCAATATTTTGAGCAAAACTGTGCTCTTACCCTGCTAATTGGACCTTCACAGTCTGCTCTTATTGGTTCAATGTGCAATTAATGAAGATTGGCCACCAGGCTGGTCCAATTTAGCCATGAAACCTCCCACACTAAAATGAGAGGCGTCTCAGTTTCATTGTCCAACCCCTGTATGTGCAACCTTTATACAACCCTGTCTAGCAGCTAATCAACTATTATGACAAAATGCAATCTTTTATGTTGGATTGATCCTTTAAATCTCTATATGGAACAGAAGCTCCGGTGTTCGTATGCCACGTTGAGACCTGCACTCAACTGAGGAACAAGGAACCAGGAAAACCTAGACTCAGGATGTGTTGGTCTTTGAGGATGTGTGTGTGTTTTTAGATTGTGTTTGAGGAGGAGGTGTAAACGCTTGCAGCATCTATATGCTGACTGAAACATCCTGGAATCCTGCATCTCTGAACCAATCAGAGGAGGACCACACCTTTTTCCTCCAGACTCTTTCTGTAAACATGTCAGCCTGACAACACGCCCTCAGATCAGAACAGACGATTAATATCTGCTGATGAGTAATATTATTTATTTATAAGTATTAGTGTTTCACTGATAAAGCAGAGATACTTTTCTAAAACTGTATTTTTATGTTTCTCAGATCAATGAAAAATAAAACATGGTGTCCGTGTTTGTTATCTGTTCATTCAATCTGGGAAAAATGCAAAACAACCAATATTTAGTTTTTCTGCATTTTCTGGGAATCAAAAAGGGAAAATAACCGTTTTCTTTTGTACATCTCATCGAATTAACAAAACCAAACTCAAGTCATATTTCTGTGTTTTGGATTTTGCCCCATGTCAGCTGGGATTGGCTCCGCGACCCCGGACGCAGGATAAGAGGCTGACGATGAATGAATGAATTTCTCTACTAAAATTGATAAAATTCCCTAAAATTCATCTTAGCTTCAATTTCAAATTGTCTCAACAGCACGGTGATGAAACGCACCGCAAAACAAAATAACAGAGAGATGATCCTTTTTATTTGTACAGTCTGAATGAGATATTTGAACAAATGGACGACACACGGACATTTTGGAACCTAATCTCCAACCGTCCTCACAGCTCAGGTTTTGTGTTCGTCAATGTGGTGAATTTTACAAAATAAACCATAAACCAGCTGACTGACGCGGAAACTTTGGGAGTTATTCCAGCACAGCAGCTCTGTTTGTTTTCTGGGCTGCCATGTATGTGTTCACTCTACTCAAAACAGACAGCAGGGGCAGGTATGTATACAATACAGATAAGCTGGTAGGAATGGGTGGGGGGTCAACACAAATGTTTGCCCCTGAGGGTCCCCAAATCCCTTAATGTGGACATGGTCTGATGGTCTGTTATTGTAAACATATCTAACTCACCACCTGGTGTCTCTGAGTTGATTTGAAGAACGTCTCTCTGTCGTTGCTGCCCAGAAACCTGCAGACATTAACATTACATTATATTTATTCATTTAGCTGACGCTTTTATCCAAAGTGACTTACAATTGCTAGACATGTCAGAGGTCGCATGAGAACAATTAGCGGATAACCACATGGTACCTGCCACGTATTTCCAGAAAAAAAATCCTAAAATAACAAACCCTAAATAAATCAGTAATATCTCCTCAACCATCAGGCCTGGATGCATAATTCTGGTCTCCTTTGAAAGGTCAGAAGCTGAGGAATATAAATCAATTGTACATAAACACATTTATTTTACCATTAAAGACTACATGAAGCAATACAGAAAAAATTGATATTTTCATCCTCGCCTGGTGAAAAAAGCTATGTTTTAATGCAATAAACCATCAAAACCATCATAAAGTAGATTATAATGCACCTGAATATCTTCTAATCCATGTTTATATGTTCACTTTTCACAACTGTTCAGCCAAAAGTTAGTCATTTACAATTAATCCTTTTTTAAAGTGAAACTTTGTTCAGCCCTTCCATTTTAACCACTATTTACTACAAAACTGACACTCAGGTATTGTTCTGATACTGTTGAGAAATGCCAAAGATAACTATCGTGTTCTTCTTCTTTTGTTGATAAAGTGAAATAAAACAGGGTAAATAATAAATAAATAAATCTGAAACATGGTCTGTTTATAACGCTGCTACCTCTGCAGCTTGTTGGTCCTGAACTGACAGGTGTAGTAGTCAGGTGGGGGGTTCGGGACGTCCTGAAACAGAAGGTTGGGAATTGACAGCCTGGACAGGACCTTCTCAGACCAGTTAATGAACGGAGTGGTGACCACCTGCAGGACAGAGGACAAACTGTGAGGACACACTGTGCAAAGTACTCCATTATATGTAAAAGTCCTTCATTAAAAATGTTACTTTAAAACTCAAAATTATTAAAAATAAAGTAAAATGATTACATTTGAGAAGCTGCAAACATGATGAACATTCAGCTTTAAAACATTTTACTTTGTAAAGTAAAGCAGTTAAATAAGCCGAGTAGTATAAAGTCCAGTACCTCAGAATTTGTACTTCAGAACAGTTGTTGAGTAAATGTACTTAGTTACTTTGCACTGCTGGAAATTACTGAACGTAGATGTTTCCTCTGAGGATGAGGAGGAGGAGGAGTTTTACCTGCAGAGGCACTCTGAGACTGATCTCTTCAGCGTAGTAACACAGGACGCTCCACGGAGCGCTGAGGAGGACAAAACAGATCTTCCTCTTGGTCTGAAGGACCTCCTTCTGTAGAAGAACACACAGAAACTGGTTTAAATCCACTCCGTCCTAAAGAACCTCCTCAGTATTAGCTGGAAACTGTTCATCGTTCACTTGTGGAGTCCCACAGGGTTCGCATCTGGGTCCTCTTCTCTTCTCTGTTTATGCTCCCACTTGGTCTCTTAATGACTTGTTATCAGGTGTGGTGGGTTATCAGACAGCTCCCCACACCTGATGATGCATTTACATTTATTCAATTAGCTGACGCTTTTATCCAGAGCGACTTACAATTGGGGGAGTCACACAGGATGATGGGGGAGGGTGGGGCTGGGCTCTTTCTGAAGTCTACGACCATCTCCACGGTCTTCAGAGCATTGAGCTCCAGACTGTTCTGGCTGCACCAGGTCACCAGATGGTCGATCTCCCACCTGTAGGCGGACTCATCCCCACCTGAGATGAGCCCAATGAGGGTGGTGTCGTCCGCAAACTTCAGGAGCTTGACAGACTGGTGACTGGAGGTGCAGCTGTTGGTGTACAGGGAGAAGAGAAGGGGGGAAAGAACGCAGCCTTGAGGGGAACCGGTGCTGATGGTCCTGGAGTCAGAGACCTGTTTTCCCAGCTTCACGTGCTGCTTCCTGTCCATCAGGAAGTCTGCGATCCACCTGCAGGTGGAGTCAGGCACGCTCAGCTGGGAGGGCTTGTCCTGCAGAAGGTCCAGGATGATGGTGTTAAAAGCAGAGCTGAAATCCACAAACAGGATCCTGGCGTAGGTTCCTGGGGAGTCCAGGTGCTGGAGGATGTAGTGAAGGCCCATGTTTACTGCATCATCAACAGACCTGTTGGCTCTGTAGGCGAACTGCAGGGGGTCCAGGAGTGGGTCTGTAATGGACTTTAGGTGGAACAACACAAGGCGTTCAAAGGACTTAATAACCACAGAGGTCAGGGCGACGGGTCTGTAGTCGTTCAGTCCAGTGGTCCTTGGTTTCTTGGGGACAGGGATGTTGGTGGAGGCTTTGAAGCAGGCTGGCACATGGCATGGTGTTAAAAAAAAATTATGTCCCTGGCTGCTTTGACTCCACTTTTGGTGATTTTTCAGAGTTGTATGATACCAGTTACTTTAGCTGCTAACTTCTGCTAACAGCAGCTCCTGCTAGCTGCTCAATTAGCTGTACAGCCAGCCATCCTATCACTGATTCTGCCTGGACTGGAAGCTTGGTGCTCAGGGGTGTGTTGGTGTTTACATCTCTGACATTACTGCAGAAGCTTTGGACCGCTGGTTCAGAGCTGGCTGATAACAGCAGCTAAAGTTAGCAGCTACTTTAGCAGCAATTAGCAGCTACTGTAGCATTAGCAACAAGTGAAGCTATCTGTCCATCAGGAAAATTCAGAAATCACAGAGTTGAGGCAGAACAGCTTGAGGACATCCGAAGGAAAGCCAGAAAATATTTCCTTCAGAACCGTTAAAGCACTTTATGTTTACAACCTCCAGCTCAATGAGCTCATAATACCGCTAACTCTGGAGCGGGGGCTGGTTTATGTAACTTTGGGGGCGTAAACATTTAATGACCCCAAACATTACGTCACATCTACCGCTTGTTGGCATTCGCCCTTTTTTGCATGTGTAAAATTTACATATGAAGGAGGAAACAACGGAGATTGAGGCTTACTGAACTCTTTTTATTCAACTACGCCAAGGTTAACAGTCTTCCATTCAACGGCACCTTTAACACAGTGAGAATTTAAGTGTTATATCAGAGCTGCCAACTAGGGCTGTCGCGATAACCGCAAAATTGAAATACCACGACTGGTCAAGCCTACTGCGGAGGCTGGCAAGCACTGCAACAACCACAATGTTCATACTGTACACTTCAGTGCATGTTAAATTAATAAATGAGTGCTTTAAAAGTTCCACAATTGCAACAAGCTCTGTAAAGCTTCAAGGATGGATCACCATAGACTGTACATGACCGGACTTCAAACTCTGAAGCTGGAAGTGTTGCCGTGTTTTGTGTTGTTTTACTGTTTATTTTAAAGGTTAGCTAACTTGGCATTAGCATATTGTGGGGCTAATGTGGCTAGCACGCTCTGCGATGTTGGACGTTGTGATCCTGAGGGACAGTCCATAGAAACTGTAGACAGTAAGCCCCATTTGAATCTCACTAACTAAGGAGCGTAGTGTGTCGGAAGCCTGCAGCTGACTTTCATGTTGCTTTCTGTGGAAATTTAGTTATAACGTTACTATAGCGCAGTGGTTAGATGCGGACAGCCATTCAGCTCCACACCGGCACGCGTGTGTGTGTGCGCGCGTGCGTTGCTGCGGTATGTAAATTGACTTGATAGACGTGCCTTGAAGGTAATGATATAGCTACGTCTGAAAAAGACACTGTCAAACTACAAAAAGGAGTTTGCTTGGCAATGTTGTTGACTAGCACGCAGCAGCTAGAATGCACAGACCATAAAGTTGCTGTTAGCGGCTCGCTGTGCAGCGAGGTGACAGATACAGTCTAACTCTGCTATATGGCACCAAATTACTTTGATTACATTGATGAAAAATGCGATAATACCGCATACTGTTGAGTCCCAATATATTGCCGCGGTGGAACTGCCAACTCTCACACATTGAGCGTGAGACTCACGCAATTGACACTTTTCACACCCTCATAAACCAATTTTCTCACGCATCGGAAAAACTAATGTATCCTATACTGACTGCGTCAACTCGGCGCGATTGCACTCCACCCAGCTGATTCCACACTGGCACTTTGACAAGAATCGAGCGAACCTGCTCTCGCGCAGTGAGCAGCGGTAGACCGTTTGTGATCGGGTAAAGTACGGTTTTGCAATATAAAAATGTACAATCCGAAGCACAGCCTTACTCTGTTGGGATTGTGAGCTGCAAAGAGCTGCTGAAGTTAACATGAGGATTTGTGGTGAAGTGCTTTCAGTTAGTTTCATTTTGCACAGGTCTCAACTATACAGTCCCAAACAGGTTCTGTGTCTGTCTGTCTGGGAATCATATCAGCAGAGCAAGTAATAAACAGCAGATTATAGGGCGGGGAGGTTTTGAAACATTGTGAGTAATGATGACGTTATTCTCATAGAAACCTTTCTGGAGATGTCAAGATTTCACAATTAGGCTACATGGGATAGATGCAAAAAGTTTCTAACAGAATTAAAAAGGAGTTTCTAACTGAATTAAAATGAATTAATTTATTCTTGAGGTGAAAAGGTGCCACATTTAAAGAGGAACTTCCCCAAACACAGACACAAAGAGGAGGGAAGACTAAATCATGAAAAAAGCCTACTGAATTATATTCTGGTATATTTTATATTTTAAATTGTCACCTGCTGCCTGAGTTTTGTGTTTCCGTTGACATTGACTAGATAAAATAATTTCCACCATAAACTGATGCAGAAAAGGCAGGAATTGCAGGAAACTAAGTGTTTAATGCTGAAAATTTGCAGGGTGAGGACCCCCAGACACCCCGCCTAATTAAGTGTCTCATCCATTGCTAAAGGAAAACCTACAGTCTTGCTTATTATGAACGTTAATATTCCAGACATTCTCTAGAATTACAGAAATACAGTCTCTGGTTTGACACATAGATTCTGTGGGGGAAGACTCCCCAATACATGGTTAGGTTTGGTCAACATTAAGGCTGTCATGGCAAGTATCTAGTAACTTGGCTTTTCACCTACACATACATGTGGCTGTTGAACTTTTGAAATAAAATTCCTGAGGATTAAAGAACTATGACCCCGACCCCTGCGGTGGGATATGTAAAATGAACCGACCTCCAATCTCACTCCAAACTAAATTGAAATGTTGGCAGCCCTGCTTATGTATTTTATAAAAACGTCAAAGGGTCCAGTCAGCAGCTCAGTGAGTACTTTCACATTTTGCTGATTTTGTATGTATACATTTTAAACTTGGGATTCAGTGGCATCAATGTGTTGGCTCAGAAAATGTCCTGCACTGATGTCACGTGACGGACTGTTCAAACACACTCGTGTTTGAACAGATGTTTGGAGTTTCCATGTTTGACTTGGTGTTTGTTTTACTCACCAGCTCCAGCAGCAGTCCGGTGCGTCTCAGTTGGTTCAGAAACTTCTCCCTCCACTTCCTGTGGGTGGGGCTAACACCTGTGCTCTCCTCCTCCTTGGAGCTCCGAGGCTCCTCCCACACCAACACAAAATCTGTCCAATAAGAAAACAGGAAAATACTGTCTCTAATATGACGTCATCACTACCCATCTGCTATTGGCTGGTTTATTTGAGAGTCACAGGAAGTTGTTTTTGTTTGTATGGAACTGTTTGGTTGTGGTCAAATACTCTTTTTTTGCTTAGGAAGGTTCCTGTTCACATACAACGTAAATTTAATCCATGCAATAAAATTTTTTGATCCCCTTGAATTTTGCTCTGAATTACACTCATGATGATCAAGAAAATTGCAGTTTGATGTAAAACTGTTGAGGAATCAGACTGTGAAAATACATAATTACAAAGACCACAAACCCAAAAGTCGCATATATGACGTCGTAACTTTTTCTCTAAATGACTGAAGTTACTGAAGCTAACGTTACTGAAGCTAACGTTACTGAAGCTAACGTGAAAGAACTTCCATGTGTAGATGACGTGATAAAAGGGCCGAGTTGTTGGATTAAACGCATCAAGTGAGATATATTTCTGCGTGGAACATAGCTAAATTATCTAGCTAGCAGCAACCAAGCAATGAACGTTAGCTTAGCATTACCGAGCCAACATGTTGGTGACGTATATTGTGCGAGACGAGAGATGTAGTTCATTGAACTGTTTTCATACAAAACTAAAAGTAACTTTACTGTTTTAGGACAAACTGCAACTTTCTTGACGGACTAATAATATTACTAAACATCATGTGTGAAACTCTCTCGCCGTCGACTACCGTACATATTTTTAAGGTCTCATGGGCCAGAAGCAGAAGCGAGTGACTTAGGCTCTCTGTAAGCAGAAGATGACTTCTTGAAAGTTCAGTAAAGACAGAGAAAGAAATTCTGCAGAAGGATTGTTGATATTTGAACTCAACTGCCAAACAAACACACCCCTCCCCTCCTCCCTCAGAAGCTCCTCCCCCTCTAATTTTAAATCTGTTTGGTTCCTCTTGCTTTCCAGCCTCAGAGATTTACCTAATGTAAATCACTACGGCTGCAACAAATCACTATTTTCTTGATTAATCGATTAGCTCATAAAATGTCACAGTGAAAACGGTCTCGTTCTGTCTGACCAACAGCCCAAACAGATTACTCAGATATAAAACAGACAAGATTTTTAGAAGCTTGTTTATCAAAACGGTTGCCAATACATTTTCCTGTTGACCAACCAATCAACTAACATTTTCAGCACTTCACCTGAGGCTCAAATACGTCATCAGTAAGCGATGAGTTCGCCTCCTGTCTGGTGAAAAACACAATACTGTTTATTCTCAAGGAAGATTTTATTCTGTATTCAATGAAGTGGCACGTGAACATCCTTCCTGTATGATCAATATGCCATTATTCTCCATGCTGTCGGACTGCTGTCACACCTGCTCAGGTGTGCTGTAGGTCAGAGGTCACCTGCTGATAACAGTTTACCTGACCCCTCAGCTAACATTGACTCAGCACGGCGTGTTTGTTTTACTCACCAACTCGAGTCGATCCGTCACTGAACACGTTCCTGTTCTGAGCAGGTGCATTCTGGGAAACAAGAACAGAGTGATTCAGCACAGGTAATTGATCGGATATCAGTTCTCTTGTCACACCGGCTGATGTTTGTCACCCGTTTTGTCTTGTTTTACTTTTTAAAACTCATCCGTATAAAATTATTTGCCTTGAAGCTGCGGTAACGGATGTTTTGGTCCACTTGTTTTCAGTAGAAACAAGTTTGTGAACATCAGTATATCCTCATCTTTTATGTTGATTTGCTCAACTTGTGATTAAACAGCAGCTTATTTCCACCTCCAGCAGCTACATGATGCTTCATGAGGAGTCTTCAAGTCCAGTTGTCCTTGATTTTAATCTTCTTGGTGAATATATGCCCAGTTTTCTCTCTCTGTTAGCTCTGTGTTTGGTCTCCACCTGCTCCGGAGGGAAATATCTCGCTCTTTAGCTGCCAAATGCGCCACTACGTTCACCAGCTAATTGCTAACAAGTGCAAACAAATCAAACAAAGGTTTAATGGGACATTTAAGTTGGCTGATTCCTAACACTGGCTGCACAGTTCTCATTCGCCCTCCCAACCAGGGCTGGCGGCCAAAATTATCCTGTCGTGTGTGGGGTTTACAGACAGAATCTGAAGGTCGCCAACTGGATGAGAGCGTCCGATCAGAAACCTGCAACAGCCAATGAGAGCGAGCTGAGCAGGAAGCATCACCAGTGTGTTGTCTCTGTTTGAAGTTAAGTTTGATCACAGTTTCTGTCAGATCCCAAGTCGCTGGAACCGCCACTCTGAAATGTTTTGTTTAAACGCTGAGTGTGTGGTCCTGCGTCTGGACTGACTGGACCGTCGGGTGTGTTCATTCAGACCAAACGCATAGCCCTGATCGATCCGAACTCCGTTCAGAAAACACTTTAAAAGTTGTCGTCCTGCTGACAGACCTGACAAAGCATGAATTCATATGTTTAACAAATCTGCATCATGTTGTCGTTGTTTCAGCATCAGTTTGATCCGTTTATTGCAATTAAATCACAGCAAAATGTTTACTTTGAGTTTATACAGCTGTAGGATTTGCGGGTTGTGTTTATTTGCGTTATCGCGTTGCGTGTGAACACTCGGCGAGTTGTCCAGCGATAAAACTCACGTGAGAAAAGCGACACAAGGATTAAATAGGTAGTTTGGTTTTAATGAACAGTTAGATTAAAATATTAAACATAAGTTCATTCTGTCATTATGTCTGGGGCATCCCATGTTTTTAACATCTGTGTGCAGCAGGAATAAGTAATATAATCAGCACTGTTTTGTTACTGCCTACAATGTTTATGTTTCTTGACTTATACAGTAAATTAGAGCAGATTTGATCTGATCAGATCTGTTTCATGTCTCCTACTGTTAATGAAAGTGAAAACAAACACTGTGGTGAGACGAGGTCCAGAACAAACATCTACTGTTCTCTAATGTTTCGTCACTCAGTCAGTGTTAAACCGAGTGGAGCCGCTCTGTCTGACTTTATCACACACTTCCTGTTTCCTGCTGCAGCCACCCAAAAACAAACAACACTCCTGAGTTTCATTACAGACCATCTGAAGCTGCTGATCTCTGTCCTCACAGGGTTTCATTCTGGAAAGAGTTCATGCCACTACTCCGTCTTCTGTCAGCTCCACAGTTGTCTCAAAGTTTGATGGAGCTAAGCTAACACTTTGCACCTGTTTACAGTGTTTGTGCTAAGCTAAGCTAAACACATCACAACACGTCCTTTTGTATTTTTTCTTGAACTGTGAGGTTTTTATATTCTGTTTTTTTTTTTAAAGGTTGACTTGAGTGTTTATATTTTAATGTGACGCAATTCAGGCCAATAAAGTACATAATTAAATAAAGGATAAAGTGTTTGATTCCTGCCGTTGTAGAGAAGCTTTAAAGCTGCATTTAGTCCGTTATATTGGGGAATAAAATGGCAACGCTTCATTTTATGAGACCCTGATTTCCTACTTTCTGGCTCCTGAGGCAAATTTGTGATACTGGGTAATCCCTCTAATAAAGGCAGGAATCTCTGTGTGTTGCCTGTTTGTATTTTGATTATGTTGAAATTAGACAGGTGTGTTGCTGCGGACCCAAGGAAGTACAGTGTCGCATTTGGGGTGATGTGGACATGTAACACGTTCAGAATAAATACATATATTAGAGAACAGTGCGAAGCGGAGCGTGGCTTATTAATTATTGTTAGAAACAAATGTGATGAAAACTCAAGTGAACTCGGAAATCCTTTAAACCTGCGTCCTCTCCAGCAGCCAGCAGGGGGCGACTTAAACCTGCGTCCTCTCTAGCAGCCAGCAGGGGGCGACTTAAAGCTGCGTCCTCTCTAGCGGCCAGCAGGGGGCGACTTAAACCTGCGTCCTCTCTAGCAGCCAGCAGGGGGCGACTTAAAGCTGCGTCCTCTCTAACAGCCAGCAGGGGGCGACTTAAACCTGCGTCCTCTCCAGCAGCCAGCAGGGGGCGACTAAACCTGTGTCCTCTCTAGCAGCCAGCAGGGGGCGACTTAAACCTGCGTCCTCTCCAGCAGCCAGCAGGGGGCGACTTAAACCTGTGTCCTCTCTAGCAGCCAGCAGGGGGCGACTTAAACCTGTGTCCTCTCCAGCAGCCAGCAGGGGGCGACTTAAAGCTGCGTCCTCTCTAACAGCCAGCAGGGGGCGACTTAAAGCTGCGTCCTCTCTAACAGCCAGCAGGGGGCGACTTAAAGCTGCGTCCTCTCTAGCAGCCAGCAGGGGGCGACTTAAACCTGCGTCCTCTCTAGCGGCCAGCAGGGGGCGACTTAAACCTGCGTTCTCTCTAGCAGCCAGCAGGGGGCGACTTAAACCTGCGTCCTCTCCAGCAGCCAGCAGGGGGCGACTTAAACCTGCGTCCTCTCTAGCAGCCAGCAGGGGGCGACTTAAAGCTGCGTCCTCTCTAGCGGCCAGCAGGGGGCGACTTAAACCTGCGTCCTCTCTAGCAGCCAGCAGGGGGCGACTTAAAGCTGCGTCCTCTCTAACAGCCAGCAGGGGGCGACTTAAACCTGCGTCCTCTCCAGCAGCCAGCAGGGGGCGACTAAACCTGTGTCCTCTCTAGCAGCCAGCAGGGGGCGACTTAAACCTGCGTCCTCTCCAGCAGCCAGCAGGGGGCGACTTAAAGCTGCGTCCTCTCTAACAGCCAGCAGGGGGCGACTTAAAGCTGCGTCCTCTCTAACAGCCAGCAGGGGGCGACTTAAACCTGCGTCCTCTCCAGCAGCCAGCAGGGGGCGACTAAACCTGTGTCCTCTCTAGCAGCCAGCAGGGGGCGACTAAACCTGTGTCCTCTCTAGCGGCCAGCAGGGGGCGACTTAAACCTGCGTCCTCTCTAGCAGCCAGCAGGGGGCGACTTAAACCTGCGTCCTCTCCAGCAGCTAGCAGGGGGCGACTTAAACCTGTGTCCTCTCTAGCAGCCAGCAGGGGGCGACTTAAACCTGTGTCCTCTCCAGCAGCCAGCAGGGGGCGACTTAAAGCTGCGTCCTCTCTAACAGCCAGCAGGGGGCGACTTAAAGCTGCGTCCTCTCTAACAGCCAGCAGGGGGCGACTTAAACCTGCGTCCTCTCCAGCAGCCAGCAGGGGGCGACTTAAACCTGCGTCCTCTCTAGCAGCCAGCAGGGGGCGACTTAAACCTGCGTCCTCTCTAACAGCCAGCAGGGGGCGACTTAAACCTGTGTCCTCTCCAGCAGCCAGCAGGGGGCGACTTAAACCTGTGTCCTCTCCAGCAGCCAGCAGGGGGCGACTTAAACCTGTGTCCTCTCTAGCAGCCAGCAGGGGGCGACTTAAAGCTGCGTCCTCTCTAACAGCCAGCAGGGGGCGACTTAAACCTGTGTCCTCTCCAGCAGCCAGCAGGGGGCGACTTAAACCTGTGTCCTCTCCAGCAGCCAGCAGGGGGCGACTTAAACCTGCGTCCTCTCCAGCAGCCAGCAGGGGGCGACTTAAACCTGCGTCCTCTCGAGCAGCCAGCAGGGGGCGACTGCAGCGGCTGCAGAAATAAAATGTTTCTACTTGTCAGCTGATTTATTCCCTCAGTAAACACTTTCCTGATGAGTTTCTGGTCCCATTTAGAGGAACAGAGACCAGGAAGCAGAGTATAATTTGTCAATCAGACTAGAGTGACTCGTACCCTCGGCACTGTGTAAATTTAACCAGCGCCGCTGAAAAGATTTTTAGGAGTCGGTTGTTCACTTTCTCTGGTGAGCACATGTAGTTTTAAGACTGTTGTTCACTGGACAAAGTTATCAGCCTGTTAAAATGAAAGTTTACGTGAATTACAAATGCACCTAGCTAAGCTAGCTAGCTAGCTCCAAACGGAGCCATTGGCTCCACCGTCTCACCCACATATGGTCACGTCCGGTGCTGCTGGTTGCAAAAAAATTAAACATGGCGGCGCCCTAATCGGCCAAACTCGAGGCTTCAAAACGGCGGTCCACAAAACAATGTGTGACGTCACCATGACTACGCCCACTACTCAAATACAGTCGGTGTGGTTGAAACAGACTTTTATGAAGTCCTAAGAAAGCGCTGAATATCTAGCAGAATCTCCACCGTCGTGTTGTTTCAGTGTTATTAATGATGCAGGTGAAACCGATGTGAGCTGAAACGGTTAGTTAAGTTTGTGTTAACGATTTTAATGTTGATTTCCAGAGGAGAAAATATAACTGATGATAAATTAAAATAATGTGATCTTTTGGAGAACATTGTTGGATCGGGGGAATTTGACTCATGGCTTTTGTTATTATTATTATTATTATTAATAATATATTTTTTCTGGTAGTTTAATAAAAGAGGATTTAATAATTTAATAAAATGGTGAGATGCTCCTTTAAAGATCAGAGGATCCAGGACGGGTCCCTGAGGAACTCCACGTGTTGTCGGCTTCCTTTTATCCGTCTGTTCTCCGGACAGACTTTTAATCTTCCCAACAGTCGATCACTGAGTTATCGATCCGATCACACGCAGACAGCTGTTACCGTGTCGATGCTGCCGTAGCTGTTCTGCGAACTGTTTTCCATGGCGATGAGCGTGGCGCTGTCCTCCCGCTGCTCCCCTCTCCTCCTCATCATGCCCCGCCTCCTTTGTCCTCCTGCAGATCCACAAACACTCAACACACACAGAAATATATACTCTACATTTACTATACTATGTATACATTAACATGTCAATGTACACCACTAAAGCACAGTTAAAAACTGAAATGTTTGTGTTACAAGTTTCATTTTAGTCTAGTTTTAACAGCTTTAATACAGTTAATATTACGTTTGAGTATTCAGATCCTTTTTTTTAATTAGAAATACCACTGTCTAAAAGTACTCCATTACAAGATAAAGTCCGAAAAGCACGAGTTGGAGATGATCCTTCATGCTTTTATTTCCTCTCATTTAGATTCTTGTAACAGTAACAATGAGAAGGAGCTTTACCGTCCGCAGGCCGATCAGAACTCTGCTGCAAGGCTTTTCATCACACCTGTTTTAGCAGCACTTCACTGGCTAACAGTCCAGTAATGAATTCATTTTAATATCCTGGTCCTTACTTTAAAAGCCCTGCACAGACAAGCTCCTCCCTACATCTCTGACTCGATACAGCTTCACCCCCCCACCTGTAGTTTTGCTGTTGGAAGGCTCGGCTGCACTCCTATGGCGCATGCTCTGCTGCGACAACCCGGTCTGTACACTCCCTGTATGTTCAAGGTGCTCTTTGTACAGACTGTGAAAACAAATTTCCTCCACTGAGGACAATAAAGAATGAATCTGAATCTCGTCTGAGGTCATCTGGGCCCAGTTGTACAAAAAGTTGAATCTATCTCATGTTTTTCTATCCAGAATGCTTCTTCTTATTCACACAAATCTCTGAGGACTGTAAACACCACCACGCCATGTGAAAAACGCTCAGCAGCGCCTCTCTTTTCTCAGGAAGGTGAAGCTGCTGGCGTCATTTTACAGAGGTTCTGTTGGAAGCGTCCTCTCTCACAACACTCTGGTGTGGTTCACAAGCCGCACCGAGGCCGACAAAAAGGCAGCTATGAACATCACCAACACACTGCTGCCCTCTCTAACTACAGTCTCTGCCAGGACGCAGCCACCTGTTCACCCTGCTGCCCTCTGGGAGACGCTACAGCTCCATTAAGACCCGCACCCCCAGATTCCTCAACAGTTTCTTTCCACAAGCCATAAAAGAACTGAACTGTCACAAACAATGAACAGTACTGCTCTGCAGTGCTATGACGGCCACTGGAATTTGTGCAATATGTTTTAGAGTTTATTGTTATATATTCTATTCAAGGGCGTCACTTTGTGCTGAAAAGCGGTGGGGACATTTAAAGGCTCATGTTAGTCCACGAGATGTGAGAATGCACAGTCACAAGAATAAGACAACAAGATACCACAATGCTATTTAGAAGAAATATTCATTGATGAATTTGATTGGAGGCTGTGGGGCTCCTCCCCCAGAAGATTTTGAGCATTAAACTCTTGATTTCCTGCATTCTAGAGGCATTTTCTGCACCAATTTATGGTGGCAATGTCTTTTATTCATATGATGGGAAACAAAATTCATGTGGCTGGTGACATCTCAGATTATAAAAATCTTATTAAATATAATGCAGTAATCAGCATCTTGCTTTTTTTTGCCTAAGTTACTTTTTTTGGACAATGCAGATCTGTTTTCTTCTATATTTACATTTGATTTCATGTTTTCCGGTTGTGCAGGTAAACCTTTCTCGGAGAATTTTTATTGGTTATTTAACTTTTACAAGAAAACTTTTAGGGAATGCTTTCAAAAAGCGGTGGGGACGTGTCCCCAGCCTCCCCAGTGTAAATGACACCTATGATTATATTAACTGTGCAATATTTGTTTTGATACGTGGAGCGTGCAATATCCTTTACTCCTGCTGATTCCAGTTTTAACTGTTTATGTGAATTTCTGTCGATTATTGATGATTACCCGTGTGTATTTTTATCTTCACTGACGGTACATGGAGGGGAGTTGCACTCAAATATCGTTGAACTACATTAAATTTTTGTGCCGGCTTTTCAAAGCAGCATTGGATTGGATCACTTTGATCCAGATACAAACCTTTCAGAATTACCAAATCTGGATTTCCAGCGCTCTAAACGGGACCGCATATCACAACGCTGTTAATGATATAAAGACCAACAGGGAGAACAGCCAGCGTGGGGTCGCTTTAATTTGAAGAGACCGAAAACGCACAATAAAACAACACAAACATTTTCTTCCATTTTCAATTTCTTTAAAACAGTCTGACCATCTGACCCACAACAGATCTAAAAAAACAAACAAAGATACATTAACTCACAGATACAGTGTGGATATTTTGAGCATGTGTTGTTAAAATAAAGAGAGCAGCTTTTAGCCTTTAGGAGGCTGAACTCTGAGTGAGGGATGAACTTGTTTCAAACTGCCTTTAAATAGTTCGCCTCTGATGACTGTAATTAATGTCCAATAACAAGTCATAGTTTAAATTAAATCAGTATTTTGGTTTGATATTGAAGCTGCTGGAGGGATTATGTTTTTTACTTTACTGTACTGAATGGCTTGTAGGTGATGTTGATTTTATCTACTTTATCACTGTGAAGTTTAAACAAATCAAGTGCAAAACAGATTTAAATGTGTATACAGGCTCCTACGTGGTAAACATGTTGTATTATTTGGAATATCTGGAAAGTTTTATGACATTTTGTTCCTGAAATCCACCCTGAATCAAACCTTCTGCTGGGATCAGGATGAATCCAGATTTTTTTTGGCTCAAAGGGATCCCAGTCCTGCTGAAAAAGTTTTGAACAAGACAAAGGTTTGATCCAGATAACTGGATTATCAGGTGATCTGATCCAGCATCCTTTTTTTTCTCTTTTGAACAACCCAGTTTCAAGATTTGATCCAATCCCACAGCTGAAATCAGATTCCTTTTGAACACCTGGGCCCAGGTCGGAGGCATCTTAAACCCAGAGGGGATCGATCATTTCAGGCGGTGGCACCGAGGCTGTGGAATGCACTGCCTCCTTTTCTACACGGTGTGTGAATTCTGTCGATCCTTTTAAAAAGCAAGTGAAGACTCACACAGGCATTTGGTTAGACGCGGAGTTTTTATGGCTGTTTCATTTATATTTTTCCATTTGTATTACTATGTTCTTGTATTTCACTGTGTTGTGGAGCACTTTGCGATCTTTCCATGTGAAAGGTGCTTTATATAAATAAACTTTACTTACTTCACTACAGTCATCTGAAAGCGTCAGTCAGATTTTTACACACAAAACACACGAAGAGTTTATAAAAGAAGATGATTTGTTATAAATTATTTGTCATAATTAAATTGAGGGGCAATTGTTTTGAGAACCACACTAACCGAACTTTTACACTTTTGATACTTAAGTATTTTTTTAAAGGTATTTTTGTACTTTGACTCAGGTTGGAATTTAACTGTCACATTTTTCTGTCCAAGCAAAGTATCAATAACAATAAATTTCATTATTATTAAGAGAGTGCAGGAGTAGGATACAGAACATACTCACAAACAGGCAGAACAACCAACAACATCCTCGAACTGATCAAACAAAGACAAGAACTTTTGAATATAAAGTAAATAAGAACAGTGGTGGAAAGTATCTAGATTTACTCTTAAGTACTTCACTAAAGTACAATTTTGAGGTACTTTCTACTTCTACTCCTTATAAAACTTGAAGTACGTTTTGATTATAACACTTGTGTACTCTTATTCAATTGACATCTTGAAGTATTTTTAGACTTTTTAGGTATTTCTACTTTTTAAAAACTGAATATTTACCATACTACATCTGAGCTCAGCTGATCGATTGATCAGAAAAACGCTTCTAGTTAAAACTCCTCAGTCTCAGTCTGCCACGCGCGCACACGCACGCGCGTTAGGACTCGTCCTCGCGCTGGGTGTCTCGAGCGGTCGGACTCACCTGTGTCGGTCCCGGGATCAGGTGAAGCTCAGGTAAGTCTCCGGCTTCGGAACAGAGGAGCTGTCTCTCTCTCTCTCTCTCTGTGTCCTGTTTCCAGCTGCAGACCTGACTGCTGTACAAGCCCCGCACCTCGTGTTAGCCCCGCCCACCTGCCTCAGCGCCTCCTCTGTCACAAAACAAACACGCACCTGTAGTTCGTTCCGGTCAGGTGTCCTCCTGTCAAGGATCACAGTGAAAATACGGGAAGGTACTCTGCAGGTGGTTTAATCACAGGTGGAAGAAGTACTCTGATAAAAAAGTACACAACTAAAGTACCAAAAGTAAAACAGATTCTTGCTGATGTGGAAAACTGAACTGAGTCACACTGTCAGATATTTCTAATATTTAATCCACTCTCGCTGATGTAAAAAAGGGTGGACAAAATAATAGAAACACCTCTCAGTTTATAAATACAGTTGAACAGAAGCTCAAACTCCATCAACACGTCCAGGGCGTGAATTACACAAAGACAACCAGTTTTTTCCAGTTCATAAAGGAAACCATACGTGCGACAGTGAACTAAAATCTTACAATATCCTCGCTTATTTAACTGAGGTCATCAGTCTGTAGATGATGATAAATCAGATTCATTTCACCAGTTGATGGGGCCCCGTACCACACGGCAAAAGGTCAGACCCACAACAGCAGACCATCAGGACCGCTCAGAACAGACCCACATAGTGCTGAACCAGAACCGAAGACACCACCATAAAATACAGGCTGCATATCTCCTTTCCTGCTCATGTTTAATGTGAATGCAATATAATAGCAGTAGTCATACATTGTTGGGGAATTGGGAATTGATGGATCTCTTCCCTGCTCTATCTAAAAAGTGCCATGAGAGGACTTTTGTTATGAATTGGCGCAACATAAATAAAACTGAAAACATTTGAAATAACAAACCTGGATTTTAACGTTTATCTGGGCAGGTAAAACTTATGACTGCTTATTGTAAAAAGATCGACTCACAAAATATTTAAATTAAATAATAAACTCTATATTGAATCAAAAATGTATCTCTAGAATAACTAATCCTCTATTTCACTGCTCATGCTGACCATTAGATAAAATATGGATTTAGTAGTAATGAAATGATATGATGGGCTTTCGGGTAGCTAACATCAGGTGGCTCATTTAAAGTAAAATAAATGCTAATTATGAAACTCTGAAGGTGGGAACTTTAGTGTATTAAAGCAGCTAGATATCTAACTGCTGACATTAACCTGCAGGGTCTGGACTGGAGCAGCTGCCAGCAGACAAGATGTTCAGCTAACGTCCAGGTTAGGAAATGGTACGGTCCATTTTAGGGGTGTCAGAAATCCTATTTCAAGACTCTTGAATATAAGGCATGAGGATGGTAAATATATGGTAATATTTACAAATACAGGTAAGAACGACCCCCTGAACTGCTGTTTTTGCCTCTTTTGGGGGGTCCAAGCCTTAATTAGGGGGTCAGACCCCCCCAATCTCCCCCCCGTAATTACAACCATGAACAGGTCTCAAAAACACAAACTGAACTATAAAACTTTAAAACATTTACTGCCCACCAGACGCTTCTAATGAACTGAATACAGAGTTTGTATTTGTAATTTTTATTTTTATAAAAACAGGAGATCAGTTTCAGAGATTAAACTACTTCAAACTGTTAAAGACTAAATAAAGTACTTTGAATAATTTATTTGTTTAAAAAAACAAAGTAAGCATCTTATAAAACAAATCATTGTACTTTTTAAACTTAAAGTATGTTTAAAAGTACTTGGTATCAGGTTATGTTATTATTACTGATAAATTAACATCACCATCAGATACATGTACTGCAGTAAAAAGTACAAGATTTCCCTCCGAGGTGAAGTATAAAGTAGGATGAAATGGAATTTAAAGTATATAAACTGACGAGAACTTTTGCTTTTGATACTTTGCTGATAACCCTTTTGTACTTTTACTGAAGTAACTTTGAATGCAGGAGGTGTACTGGTACTGAGGTCTTCCAAGTATCGTCCAGCAGATGAAGAAGTATTCTGATATATGGTAGGGTAAGAGTAGCAATGCCACACGATACAAATACTCCATGAAAAGTACTTTGTGTCAGGTTGTTTATTTTGACTGATGAATTAACATCACCACCAGATAAATGTACTGCAGTAAAAAGTACAAGGATAAAATGGAAATACTCAAACAAAGTAGGCCTACATGTACCTCAACTTTGTACTCAAATGCAGTACTTCAGTTAATGTAACATTTAACAAAGCTAACAAGAAACAAAGTAATAATATAAAAAATCATTGTACTTTTTAAACTTAAAAGTACGTGATAATACTTTTACTTTTACTGTAAGTAACACTGAATGCAGGACATGTACTTGTACTGAGGCGTAAGAAGTGTTCTGATATTCTTCTTAAAAGTAGCAGTACCACGCGATACAAATACTCCATAAGATGTAAAAGTACTTATTAGGTATCAGATTGCGGTTTTATTGTTACTGATCAATTAACATCACCATCAGATAAATGTAGTGCAGTAAAAAGTACAAGAAGGTGTAGTGAAGCAGTGTACTTTTGATACTTTGCTGTTAATCCTTTTGTACTTTTACATGTAACGGAGTATTTTTACCATATACTTTATTTGGAGAAAGCAAAGCAGACGAGACATGATGTGTTCTGGTTTTTATAATCAGCGCGGAGCTGTGAGTTTTATTATGTTCGGTGTTTATTATATTTCTGTAGATCTGCACCGTCGTCAGTAACGCTCGCTCTGATTGGACGAGCAGAGCCCCCCACCCCCTACAGGACACAAGACAGTTTTCAACAAGCTGTGTTTATTCTACATAAGATCTACTGTCGTCTACTGTACACACACAGTATTACACACACGTACACTTCTATACTTGTGAGGACCCTCGGTGACGCTCACCACAACCTGAACCTGGTTCTAACAGAACCTTTAAACGGGCCTTTGAGGTCCTGGTGTCCTCACAAAGACGGGTTAAAACTGAACCCGGTCCTCACAAAGCTAGACGAGCATCACACACACACACACACACACACAGAAAACAGAAACGGTCTTTGGCAGGAAGCAGCTTCTTCTTCTGCTTAACTAAACACTGCACGCACAGGAGCTGCACGGGATTGGACGGTGATGTCATCAGGAGGCGAAGCAAACACACACACGCAGTGACATCACACTGAGCGCAGTGTTGTGAGAAGCCGACTTTTAATATCTGAATATTCAGTTTGTGTTTCAGGTGATTGAGTCCAGGTGAGCGGCTCCACCTGCTGTCAGAGTCAGGTACCTACGCTGAGCCGGTCCGTCACACTAAGGGATTGTGGGTAATGAAGTTGAGGTAACGTGTCTTTAAACTAAACTAATGTTTCTTTGATTTAATCTGTGATGGAAACTCTTCTAACACTTCATATTTACTCAATATTTATATATTTCTTTGATATAATCATCATGTTTCTCAAACACGTTCTCAATCCAAACTTATTTACTGTGACATATGGACACATGGTCAAGACTCAGAGGCGTCTGTTTGTAGGGCCGTGTAGCGTCACTTATGAACGCCAAAGGTAGGTGATAATGATATCCAACAGGGAAGTCCGAGTAAGGAGGTGGTTGAGCTGGATGGTTGGTGAGAAATCGGACTTTCAACCAGGAGACCGATGTTCGTTTCCCGTGTGAAACAACGAGTTACGTCACTTAACTTTCGTAGTAACTTTCACCCAAACCAGGATCTTTTCTTAAACCTAAATTAGTGCTAAACTAACCTAAACATAACCAAACTGGGACGTTTCACAACAGAAACCTCTAGTTTTTATGTTGAAAGTCTAATTAGACGCTGATGATTTACTGTTGCTAACTTTACCGCAGAGCCCCACATGTACAAAAACGACACTTAGGGTGAACTCACACTAGACCCGGTTGTATCCATGCATTTACACTTGTGTGTCGGTGCCTGCGTCGTTCTGCAATTACACTGCCAAACACTAGTTGGCGGTAGCGCTAAAGCGTCCACTGTGTTGACTTTTGGCGGCGTAGAAGGCTAACTCTTTAGCCCTCTGCTAACGTGAACGGGGGTAAAATTGTATACGTGCGGCTGTTAGACTTTTCAAATGTAAAGGATCGCATTTTGATAATGAAACGAGTCATTTCGCTCGGGTTGTGACGGTCAAATATACTGATGCATCGCGTTACAGCCGCTGGATTGGCCGCTAGAAAAATTTGCCTCAAAGCACTTCCTGTCGGCTCTGAGGCATTGAGAGGCTACCGATCCGACCAATCACAGTTCTTACGGTCCGCGTCGCCACAACGTGTAGTTACATTTTTGAGGTGGTGCACGTCTGGCGACGCCGTAGGGTATGGGGCTACGCAGAGGCTACGCCATTGATTCGACACAGACGTATAAATCACAGTTAACTGTGCCCGAGCCCACCTTTTTAAGTACGAGCGGCCACAATGGTCAAATGAACTAGTCTTAAACGTGCTCGGGCACGGTACGGACCAGCTAGAGTGAGTACACCATAAAGGGTACCCAGGTCGTTAAAAAGCGTCCATGTGTGACGAGTCGGGAGTGAGAACGAGTTTGTGTAACGTTTTTATTAAAAGGTCCAGTTGTCTTCTCTCGAAGCTCTGAAAATTTAACACATTCTGATTCCCAACTCGTCACTTATGATCGCTTGTTCAGGTCCCTCGCATTTTAACAATACATATGCAATGTCCTGTTAGACTTTCAAAATAAAAGTATGTGTTAAAGTTGTGAAAGGTCGCAATTTGTTTAGGTTTAATAAACAAACGTACGTTCAGGAAAAGATCATGTTTCGTGTCATTTAACTTACGTAAGTTAAGTAGCGTCGCTTACTCAACTTATGTAACCTACGTATGTAACTTAAATAAAAACATTCAACGTTGACTTTTTGTCTCACACGGGAAACGCTGGTCTCCTGGTCGAAAGTTTCTAGCACACCACCTCCTTACTCGGCTTTTATTATTAAATACCCAACACCTACCTTGAATACAACACTACAGGTCTTCCCTACAAACTGACGCCAACGGGTCTTGAACATGCGTCCATATGTGACGACTTGGGAGGGAGAATGTGTGAGGACAATAAGGGAGTCGTGTCTTGTTCAGGCTCTGTGTTTATCAAACTGCTAAAGGTAAAACTTTGATAAAAGATAAAATGACAACAAGAAAACGCTTGTTTTAGTGCCTGAACGCCCCACAGCTGTCATATCATGGAGCGTGAGACCGGTCTGTGACTTGCCACTGTTAAATTAAGACTGATTGATTTGACCTGAGAGGTCAACAAACAGCCGATCATTTGACTTTTTAAGGCGTTTGTTTAAATTTTAAGGCAATATTCCAAAGTCTGTTTTATAATAAAATCTAATTTTTAAGGCGCTTGTTTTTTCCTTCTTCCCACTCTTGAAGTTTTTCTGGATGTGAGGCTCTGTATCGGTGGTCAGTGGTTACAGGGTGTTGACATGTGGAGTGGTTTAAAGTGTACAGAACGACAACAGTTAACACTGTGAGGCTGAAATCCCTTCATGTGTAGAAATAAGGTATCTAATGGATTCTAGATGATTATTAATTATTAATGGTTTGTAATATATTAAAAGGTATTTTTACACACATTCTTAACTCACCTTAAAATGGCCTTAATTAATTAATCAGCTAAGGTAAAAGTTTAACAATTAATTAACCCAAAATATGGAGTGAAGCCTTCAATTTGCACCTAAAATTAAAACTTAAGGTCCTTTTAAGGTACAAATGAAGGAGAAACAAAATCCCTTCATATTTAACCATAAAACTCTGTTAATTAACTCATTAAAACGGATGCAATTAATGTATTTCAATGACAAATTTAAGTGGTTATTGGATGAATTAATGGATTGTTGATTAGGTGATCTGAAAAAAACCCCAACTTAAAATGTACCAAATAAAATGAAATTTTTAATTAATACCTCAGAACTGCCTTTTATTTTTTTTATTATGAAGCAATATACCATAATCCATTAATTTATTGATCCATTATAATGTTGATGTAACCTCGGAATTTGAATTTATCAGACGACAGCTTCCTCTGATCACTCTGATCGATCTGTACACACACACGGCTGCGACTGATCTATATTGATAATAGGTCAACTTTGTATGAGGTCATCACAGTGATGTCATCAGAGGGAGAGAGTTACAGAGCTCTTTCATACGACAGACAGCGCACACACACACACACACACACACACACACACACGAACCAAATTCCATTAATAATAATAATCAATAGCGGTGATAAAGCAGAAATCAGCAACATCATCCCATGTGGCTTCATCACCACCATCATCATCATCATCAGTCCCTTCACGTCTCCACTGAGTCTGTTTAGTTTCCAGACAGGAAGTCAGTCTGATCGTCTCTAATGAACAGATTTATAATGACGGCATGAAACTTAAGATCACACCTGCAACGCCCCGAATAACCAAACTCCTCTAATTAAGACACGTTAATTAAGAAACTCATCTGTCAGTTAACAATCTGTTAGTTTCCTAACTAACCCGACCTGTTAATTAACGGATCTAATTAACACCCCTGAGCCTACGCTCTCTCTTCAGTCCGTCTACCAGACCTCGCAGCGTCTCCCGGTGTTCATGGGCGTCCCTGCAGGACAGTTGAAGTGGCGGCTGAAGTCTGGAGAGTTGGCGAGCGTGCCGATGACTCTGTATCGGGGCGGGCTGTGGGGGTCGGTCACCAGGCCCTCGTGAGCGCTCTCTGGTGTTCGAACTGAACACCACACCTGAAAAGAAAAAACACACAGGGTCAGATTTACTAAAGGTCTGCGTGAGTAAAAACATGTGAAAACTTGATTTCACCAGCAAATTAACCTGTAAGCTGATCTACTAACGGTGTGCACGCAGAGTGACGTCTTCTAAAAGTGCCAGATAGCACCTGTTGTTCATTTACTTTGCCTTAATGAATATGGAATTCGGGGTGTTTCAGTTTTATTGTGCAAAGTAGCGGGAGGGTAACATACAAATACATTTATTTGTATGTTACCCTCTATATGAATTTAATTGTTTTTTGTATTTTCCTTTAGCTTTGGCAACACTGTGGTTTTAACATTCGTGCCAATAAAGCAAATTACGTTCCAACCTGACTTCTTTTCTCCGTGAGATACAAGAATTTAAAAAGTTGCGTGGCGCTGTGGAGAGCCCCCAGCTGCAGTAGTGCACGGATCATGCGTAAAATTCATCCAGCCAGAGGGAAGGATCACCAACTGTTCACAGCACGCCGGTCGTGATAGCGACACAACCAGTTGTAGGTGTCAGAGAGGGAATGGGGCGTACAGGGCAGGGACAGGAGATCACGGAGCGACCGGGCAGGACGGTCGGTGGTCGTTCCCTCTGGCTGGATGAAGCACGACCTGCTGGCATTTCCTGGCATCTGGGTCATTCCAGCACACTGTCGCTGTTTCTGCTGGGGTTTCCCAAAGCAGTTTTTCAGGGGTCCAAATGGTGCAATCTCAGGCAGGAACAGACGATTTCCGCATACTCGGGACCCTCCCTGTCATCAACAGGAACAGAAGTGGCGCTGGTGTGGAATGTGGTGGGACGTGGTTCTGTTGAGAGGGCAGCTGGGATCTCACCTGAGCGAATCCCACAAAGAAGAGCTGATCATTGGTCAGGTTGACGGCAGGAAGTCTTTTGTCCTCTCCACTCTTCTCCACCCACGACCGATACGCCTGTAGAAGAAACAGTCGTGATTATGTAAGAAACACGTGGCATGATGTGACGTTCTGGTACCTCAGAACAGCTTGGTTCATGTTGATGTGACGCGTTCATACTAACATGGTACGCAGCCTTCAGTCCTCCGTTGTCGGCGATGTTTTCTCCGAGCGTCTGTTTCCCATTGACGTGCTCTCCGTTGACAAGGTAGCTGTTGTACTGATCCACCATACACTCCGTTCTCTCACGAAACGCGTCCACAGACGAGTTCTGCCACCACGGCCTCAAGTTTCCTTCTTTGTCGTACTCACGACCTGACGGCGGAAGGGAGGACATCTTAGTGACCAGTAAGTCATTTCCAGGCTGGGAAAAGTCACGTGAACGCCCCCTGAAGTCAAACAACAACTCGGAAAGTCGGACAAAACACAAAACTCAGAGTTGACGTCATACACGTAGAAACATGGCGGACAAGATGGTTCATGGTTAGAAACGTCAAAGTCAAAAAGCAGAATACCACCTACTTAAAAGAAATCAGTCCTTCCGGGTTTCACAATGTCGCGATCACAACTATCAACACAAATTCAACAAATCCCTGTGAATTCAGCGGGACTTTGACCAATTTCACCTATCATCGCCGTCTCATGCAAAACGTTGTCACACGTCAGCAACGAAACGAAGCAGACGTTTGTGACACCAGCGTCTCACATTTACCTACAAAAATAACAGTGAAGGACCATGAAGACCAGGATCCAGATCTTCTTTACCAAAGCGGGGAAACTGTTCTGCAGAGCGTGCAGCATCGTGGCTGAACATAAAGGAGATCGTCTGACGCTGAGGCTGCTGCGTCCCGCTCAGCTGCACGACAGAATCAAGGTCAGCTGGTTTAAATATGCAGGTTTAGGGTTACGCCCTGCAAGTCCTGGAGGGACTGTTTAATGATTAAACCACAATTCTAAAAGTTAAAAATATCACATGTACCTTTAAAGTTTTCACTTATTCGCACAATTTCATTGCAACAAAACAGCCAAGAACACCACAATCTTTTAGAAAAGCTGCCGCAAAATCATTTTAGGCCACAGCAATCACTAAAAAGGCTTGCGAAATCCTAGAGGGACTGAGAATCAAATCAAATAGGGTTGAATTTTTTTCTGTTTCTACAGAACATTTGCAGACATACCCCTAGCAGTCAATTGACGTCTCTAAATCCAATCCAAATTTTCACAGCCACCGAGAAACCACTTATAACGTCAAAGAAAACAAGTAACAACAACCTCGTAACACCTTTAACCACCAACCAGAACTCCTTCTCTGGTTTTACACCGAATCAGCTACGTGCATAGTTATTTCCTGACAAGCTTTAGAGTTTTCTACTAAAGACCAAGAAGGAGCAGAGAGTAGAGTTCCTGAACTCCATTTAGAGATGAACAAAATTAACTTAACTCTGTTCTCCTTGGCAGTAAAACTGTTGTTGTTAAAGTCAGAAGCCACTGGGTGCACATGGTGGAGCTCAGTGTGTTGGGAGTCTAATTTATATTTAATTGGCCGCAATAACTGCCAGAGTAGCGTAGGAACACTTTTTCTAATTTAAATATCATCTTCAAACATCCTAACAGAAGAGTTTTGGTGCAGTTACACAGGGCCGTGCGGAGGACTGTGTTTTCATGAGTCTTTAAGTTAACATACACAGTCAGAGTGCAGTGAACTCATCGTTGCTTCTACTAGCATAGACATAATGAAGCACTCTGTAAAATCAGCTTTTGTTCCTCATGTGTGTACAATCACAGTGCAATCATACATATTATTACTACTCTACACGGAATTTATTTTTGTCCTGTGCAATCATATTTGTTTATTTTCTACACCTTCCCACCTCCTGCTGCGACCTGTGCAACATTCATATCAATGGCGTCTGTATATACACTGAATAAAATTATAAAAGCAACACTTTTGTTTTTGCCCCCATTCATCATGAGCTGAACTCAAAGATCTAAGACTTTCTCTATGTACACAAAAAGCCTATTTCTTCCAAATATTGTTCACAAATCTGTCAAAATCTGTGTTAGTGAGCACTTCTCCTTTGCTGAGATAATCCATCCACCTCAAGCTGGCCACAATAAAAGGCCTTAGGCTGGCCACAATAAAAGACCACTCCAAAATGTGCAGTTCCATCACACAGCACAACGCCACAGATGTCACAAGTTCTGAGGGAGCGTGCAGATGCACCAGAGCTGTTGCCCGTGAATTGAATGTTCATTTCTTTTTACCATAAGCCGTCTCCAAAGACCTATCAGAGAATTTGGCAGCACATCTAACCGGCCTCACAACCGCACACCACGTCTAACCACACCAGCCCAGGACCTCCACATCCAGCATCTTCATCCAACATCGTCTGAGACCAGCCTCCCGGACAGCTGCTGCAACAACTGGTTTGCATAACCAAAGAATTTCTGCACAAACTGTCAGGAACCGTCTCAGGGAAGCTCATCTGCACGCTCGTCGTCCTCATCAGCGTCTCGACCTGACCGCACAGCCATTGAAGAGGAGTGGACCAACACTCCACAGGCCACAATCAACAACCTGATCAAGTCTATGTGAAGGAGATGTGTTGGCAGTGAGGAAAATGGTGCTCACACCAGATACTGACTGGTTTCCAGACCCCCCCGGACCCCCCCCCCCCCCCAATACAGTGAAACTACATATTTTGGAATGGCTTTTTATTGTGGCCAGCCTAAGGCCCACCTGTGCAATACCTGTCTGATCAGCATCTTGATATGCCACACCTGTGAGGTTGATGGATTATCTCGGCAAAGGAGAAGTGCTCACTAACAGATTTTGACAGATTTGTGAACAATATTTGAGAGAAATAAGCCTTTTGTGTACATAGAGAAAGTCTTAGATCTTTGAGTTCAGCTCATGATGAATGGGGGCAAAAACAAAAGTGTTGCCTTTATAATTTTGTTCAGTGTACATATTAATAAATGAATGGGGGAGTGGGGGGGACTTGCTCTGGCTGTGATGAGGCTACACTGACCAAGACCCTGATCAAGACCCTGGACTCAGGAAAACAGAGGTACATGTACACAGGACCCTCAGGAAAAGGAGAAATCTCAGGAGTAACGTTACCACCAGCTGGTCCAGGAGAAAAGTGTTGCCTTTATAAGTTTGTTCAGTATATATTACATCTTATTCTTATTTTATCCTATTTCTAATATATATTATCTTTTATCTTTTATCTAATGTGTATTTTTCTGTTGTGTACCTGGAGCTGCCGTCCACAGTGTGGGATCAATAAAGTCCATCTTATCTCTTACTTAATTGGAAGTGAACCAGGACCAGAGATCCAGGGCGAGGTCAATCTTAAAACATTTAGCACCGGTTTGCAACATACAACATGTTTCCTTGCAACGTTCCGCAATGGGTTTCGACGTATGTTTTCTTCTGTTTGGTGGGCGTGTCACAGGTGTTACCCAATCAGCTGCGAGAAGTGTAAACACAACTGTGTAAAAAGGCAGTAAAATGTATTTGCGTACACAACAGGGTGTCCAAGGCACCACCGATTCTGTTGATAAAAATGTTTTTGTCGGCGCTGAAATCGCCCCCCAGACTCACCTTGATCGTCGAAGGCGTGTGTGAGCTCGTGACCCATCACCACCCCGATCCCACCAAAGTTCAACGCCCTGAAAACACAAACACACGTTTAAAAAGAGCTGAAGAGTCCAGAAACCAGAACAGAAAGTCTAAAGTCCTGCCAGCCACAATGTCATCAAAAAAAGATTTAACTGTTTGTAGAGGCTCAACATGTAAAGTTGGTCCTGAGGGTGGCGCTAGAGGAAAGATTGTTAAAATCTAAAGGGTTCATCTTCTGGCGAGCAGGAAGGGGGATCAGTGACTCTCATCACAGTCTAGTCTGTTTGTTAATATATCTGCCTGTTTGAATAAGAGCCAGATAATGGACTCTTCTAATGTCAGGATCATGAATGATCGCCTCGCTACGTATTTACTGTTTTCTAGGCGTAAAACGTCCCTGACGGACACACAGGCAGGTAGATATAGAGGTAAACAGACTTGGGGTGGTCGCGGGCGTAGAAAGGAGCTTGTAGGATCCCAGCAGGGAAGACGATGCCGTTCTTAGTGGGCATGTAGTAGGCATTAACTGTAGGAGGAGTCATGCTCCACCTGGAGGAGGAGAGGTGAGGAAACAAGGGGAGGAGGGGAGAGGGGAGGAGGAGACAAGGAGAGGAGTTAATTGTGGTCCTACGGGTCCGTCAAAAAGCCCGGCGGTCGTATTCACAGGTATCTTTAAAATGTCACAGTTCCGGCTCAGATTTTTCTTCCTCAGATCTTTTCACACAGCTGCTGAGGATCTGAGATTAGTGCCTCCTTCTCACGCTCACCCGCAAACCTCTGCAGTGACACAGCTGTGTGACGCAGCGCGAGCTCTGTTGACGATTCGTAACGACTTCCTCCTTCTTCTACCTCATTCAAAAACACAACGGCAGTCACGTAATAACGGATTAATAACGTCAAGAAGAAGCTGACAGGCTGTGAGCCGGTGTTATGCAGTGTTTCCCACAGGATTCTATGAGACTACGGAGGTCGGACAAGTAAAATACAATAATCTGCTGCAAAATTAAAAGGCTAGATCTGTGAAGAACTTTGAGCTCTTGTAAACAATTTGATCATAAACACACTGTCCAGATATAAATGGTGATTATGCAGCAAAAATGTTTTTCCAGCAACCCAGAATCAAGGTTTTCAAATGTTTTTTTTTCCTTTTAACGGTCATATGTAACATGTTTTATACTTCGTGTGAATATAATCCAATTAATGTTATTTCCATCCTGTATATACGTTGTGTTAACGCCTTATTTTGAAAACTGGATGTTGTCACATGTTGCTTCCTTGTATGTGGAGCTCGTATCGCGTTCAGTTCAGACTTCACAGGCTCTCCACAGGTCAGACTCTCAGACTGCAGCACCTGCCTTTGCAAAGTGAGAAAATGATTTTATTTACCGTCAAGACTCCAACACGTGTGCACTCCAATATTTAGGTGACTGAGTGACAGTGGAAACGCAAACCTTTAGTTAATCTTACTAAAAAAGTGGTCGTCTCGGGCCAAAGTGTGCGAGTGTGTGAGCTTAAAGCAGCGGTGCAAAACACAACGTTAGAGGTGTGTAGTGGGATTATGAGAATGAGGTTCATTTTGAAACTATGCTGGAACACATTAGACTGTGGTGGGCCGCGATGGTCTCGAGAATTAATTGGAAACACTGAGTTATGTGAATTTCTGTTGCGGTTACGGCCGACCGGAAACCTTAAGTGAACGCGTTTTGTGAATACGACCCCTGACTGGATATGTGTGCGTCTTTGTCAGTAAGTGACTCGGCGTGTCGGTGTGTATTACTGGACTCGGTCATTATTACTGGTCTTTGTTGGGCGTCTTCCTCAGCTGGTCGGCCATCACGCGGGATGAGAAGTTGTAGAAGTTCAGCATGTTCTGGAAGAAGCTGTCGTCTGACACCTCATACTGAAACAGAGAGTCAGAACATGTTCATGTCTGACAGCAGGGGGCGGCAGAGCACTAATTGAAGGGTTACACTGACACAAAACAAACACTCCCTTCAACAACCTGTCCCCAGGTGGATGAGTGAGGACAGACAGCTGTCACTCACCCCGTCATAAACGTCGTCCAGCTCTTTGGGGTCCAGGATGAATTCTGGGAAACCGATCATATCGTAGATCGCATCTGCCTAACCAGGGGCAAACAGAAACAGTTCAGCACCTTTAACTCCACCCGAGTGTCCAACCAACTGTCCACCTGTGTTGCCACCCGAGTGCCCAACCAACTGTCCACCCGAGTGTCCAACCAACTGTCCACCCGAGTGTCCACCTGTGTTGCCACCCGAGTGTCCACCCGTGTGCCCACCCGAGTGTCCACCCGTGTGTCCACCCGTGTGCCCACCCGAGTGTCCACCCGTGTGCCCACCCGAGTGTCCACCCGTGTGCCCACCCGAGTGTCCACCTGTGTTGCCACCCATGTGCCCACCCGTGTGTCCACCCGTGTGCCCACCCGAGTGTCCACCCGTGTGCCCACCCGAGTGTCCACCTGTGTTGCCACCCGAGTGTCCACCTGTGTGTCCAACCGACTGTCCACCCGAGTGTCCAACCAACTGTCCACCCGAGTGTCCACCTGTGGGTCCAACCGAGTGTCCACCCGAGTGTCCACCTGTGTTGCCACCTGTGTGTCCACCCGAGTGTCCACCTGTGTTGCCACCTGTGTGTCCACCCGAGTGTCCAACCAACTGTCCACCCGAGTGTCCACCTGTGGGTCCAACCGAATGTCCACCCAAGTGTCCACCTGAGTGTCCACCTTGGGGTCCACCTTGGGGTCCACCCGAGTGTCCACCCGAGTTTCCACCCGTCCGTGTACCTTGTCTTTAGCAGCCTGTCTCGTGTGGTCGTCCATCCAGCCGAGTCGGTCCAGAGCTTCTTTAAACGCTGAGCGGATCTCGTTAATCATCTCCTCAGCCTGAGAGGGACAGAAGGACAGGTGATGAACCAGACCAGACCTGTACCAGATCCAGGACCATCTGTCCCTGCTGTAGGTCATTATTATCCAGGTGTAAACAATGCAGGGACTCACGATCTCTTTGCTGTGTTTGTCAAAGGTCGCCTTGACGAACAGCGCTCCCAGAGCGAAGCCCAGAGTGTCGTCAGTGTTCCCGATACAAGTCTGCCAGCGGGGGGTGCAGGACTGAAACAAACCACAACCAGTTACAACCAAGTAGAACCAGTTTCCCCCATAGGTAACAGCACAGGTGTAGCTTCCTGGGTCCCAAAACCAGTTCCAGAACTATTACTTTTACTTCCTTTTCGAATAAAGAAGAGATGATTAGAGCTGGTTACGCCGGGTCGGAGCCAGCTATTCCCAGAGCAGTTAGAACCCAGTTCTTGTGTCTGATTTATCAGCTTCCCCCGTTACTAGAGGTGGTAGCGTACCAGTAAGAGCCAGTTCCAACCAGTTCCAACTTATTAAAGTCAGCAGCAACCGGTTTTAAATGGTTTGTTTTTTAGCTTCTCCAGTAGCACCAGCAGAGGCGGCAGCTTCCTGGAGTCCACCATCAGTAACAGCCAGTTAGTGGAACCACTTGGGTTCTGGGTACTTTAAGTCAGGGCCCATTAAAACTAGTTAGAACAAGTCTCAACTACAGTTACAGAATGCAAGAATAAGTTAGAGTTGGTTAAACACCAGTTAGAACCAGTTACAGACAGCAAGAACCAGCTTCCCCAGTACACCAGCACAGACTTAGCTCCAACGGGTTCCAAAACCACAAAGAGAAAAACCAGTACAGCCCAGTGGAAACTGGTTACTTCCAGTTTGAACCAATTTAAGCCAGTAAGAAGAAAAAATGGGTTCAGACAAACTAGTTCCTTCAACCAATTACCAACCGTAGTTACTGTAGTCATAGTATCATTAGAAGTATTTATACCTGCTGGAGTAAGAGAAATAACTGTATCAGAAGCAATACCAGGAGTAACAGTTGAAGTTCTAGCAGTAAAAGTTGTAGTATTTGTATTACAAGTACCTTCTTGGTCCCGTAGAGACTCTCCAGCAGTTTGTCCTGAGCGTTCTCGAAGCGTTGATCCAAACTGGCCACGCTCTTCTGAACCAACGTCCACATCATGTAGTTATTCAACAGACTGAAGAGAGAGACAGGTGGTCAGACAGACAGGTGGACAGACAGACAGGTGGACAGACAGACAGGTGATGAGACAGGTGGAGAGACAGGTGGTCAGACAGACAGGTGGTCAGACAGACAGGTGGACAGACAGACAGGTGATGAGACAGGTGGAGAGACAGGTGGTCAGACAGACAGGTGGTCAGACAGACAGGTGGACAGACAGACAGGTGATGAGACAGGTGGAGAGACAGGTGGTCAGACAGACAGGTGGTCAGACAGACAGGTGGTCAGACAGGTGGACAGACAGGTGGACAGACAGGTGGACAGACAGACAGGTGATGAGACAGGTGGAGAGACAGACAGGTGGACAGACAGACAGGTGGTCAGACAGGTGGTCAGACAGACAGGTGGTCAGACAGACAGGTGGAGAGACAGGTGGTCAGACAGACAGGTGGTCAGACAGACAGGTGGAGAGACAGGTGGTCAGACAGACAGGCGGCCAGACAGACAGGTGGCCAGACAGACAGGTGGAGAGACAGACAGGTGGAGAGACAGACAGGTGGAGAGACAGGTGGACAGACAGACAGGTGATGAGACAGACAGGTGGTCAGACAGGTGGTCAGACAGACAGGTGGTCAGACAGACAGGTGGAGAGACAGGTGGTCAGACAGACAGGTGGTCAGACAGACAGGTGGAGAGACAGGTGGACAGTCGGGTGGACAGACGGGTGGACAGACGGGTGGACAGACGGGTGGACAGACGGGTGATGAGACAGGTGGACAGACAGGTGGACAGACAGACAGACGGGTGATGAGACAAGTGGACAGACAGGCGATGAGACAGGTGGACAGACGGGTGGACAGACAGGCGATGAGACATGTGGACAGACGGGTGGACAGACAGGCGATGAGACAGGTGGTAAGAGAGGTGGTCAGACAGACAGGTGATGAGACAGGTGGAGAGACAGGTGGTCAGACAGGTGGACAGTCGGGTGGACAGACAGGTGGACAGACAGGTGGACAGACGGGTGGACAGACGGGTGGACAGACAAGTGGACAGACGGGTGATGAGACCGGTGGACAAACAGGTGGACAGACAGACGGGTGATGAGACAGGTGGACAGATGGGTGGACAGACGGGTGATGAGACAGGTGGACAGACGGGTGGACAGACGGGTGATGAGACAGGTGGACAGACGGGTGATGAGACAGGTGGACAGATGGGTGGACAGACGGGTGATGAGACAGGTGGACAGACAGGTGGACAGACAGGTGATGAGACGGGTGGACAGACAGGTGATGACACAGGTGGACAGACAGGTGGACAGACAGGTGATGACACAGGTGGACAGACGGGTGGACAGACGGGTGGACAGACAGACAGGTGATGAGACAGGTTGACATACAGACAGTTGGACAGACAGGTGGACAGATGGGTGATGAGACAGGTGGACATACAGGCAGGTGATGAGACAGGTGGACATACAGGTGATGACACAGGTGGACAGACGGGTGGACAGACAGACAGGTGATGAGACAGGTGGACATACAGACAGTTGGACAGACAGGTGGACAGATGGGTGATGAGACAGGTGGACATACAGGCAGGTGATGAGACAGGTGGACATACAGGCAGGTGATGAGACAGGTGGTCATACAGGTGGACAGACAGACAGGTGATGAGACAGGTGGACAGACAGGTAGACAGTCGGATGGACAGACGGGTTAGAGACCTGTTCTTATCTAAATGCCTCAACATGCAGACCGACTGTTTCTCACCTGCGGTCGGTCTTGTTGATGAGTTCAGACACCTGCTGCAGGTACTCTCTGCCGTACAGGACGACGGGTTCAGTGTCGTTCAGCTCCAGAGGAGACAGAGAGGACGACAGGTAGTCCAACCAGTCCACGGCCGGAGCCAGCAGCTGAAGCACCAAAGAAGAAGAGACGTTAGACAGAGAGGAACCAGAAGTAAGTCCTCTTTTCAGCTCCTGCAGGGTCATTCAAGGGTGCAATTATGTCATGCATATAAAACTATATATGCAGTTTTTGGTGGTGGTAAAAACGATATGTACTGTTTATGAAACCATGGTATTATTACAAACTCATACAAAATACAATAATACTGTATATAAATAATATTTATTTTTACCTGACAAACACCTATACATGGTGAAAGTACTTTTTTAGCCCCAGGCAGCGTCTGCAGGATTTCTGCTCAGGCTGCATAAAAAACCTTCATTAACTGTACGTAGCCTGAGAGTCGAAACCCAGGGCTAAATAAGGGCTACACATTAGCTGCTGCTTGTTCAGCCCAAAGCGTCGAGCCCACTGAGGTGACTGAAGGAGACCCAGACGACTGAAAAAACATTTTATCAGCTCAGATCTTCTCTCTTCCGGAAATCAGACCACGTTTGTCAGTCTGTCTCAGTAATCCTCAGTGTGGGAGAAGACTGCACCACCCGAGGGGGGCAGGGAGGCGCCGGGAAGAAAAACTAATCCCTGCTGTCTGCTTCAGCTTCTAACAGTCAAAAGTCAAAAACTGGAAACTCTGCAGACAGAAGATAGTCCGACGTCCACACGTGGACCGACGCGTTTTAGCCGTCACCACACGAATGATTCATTTTGTGAACTAAAGCTCCTTCATACAAAACAGAGACACAGAGTTTAAAAGTCTGAGGTCGCTGACAGACTGAAGGTTCAGCCACCTTCAAAATAAACTGCAGTCTCCATTCATGACCGAAGACGCATCATAAACATCGGTCTTAATGAAGAAGGACAGCGTTCATCAGGCTTCCTCTAACGTTTTGTACTTGGTTTGTGTAACCTTAATACAAACTGACGTTTCAACACTGCTGCACCTCCGCAGGGTGAAAATGGACAAAGACTAGGGACTGTGACGAGATCTCGCGAGATAAATTGTGACGATATTTCTGGTGAGGTAAAAAGTTGTCTCTCGAGACTCACGCAAATTATATTTTCCACACGCTGTCAAGCCGCACATTAATTTTCTCCCGCAGTGAAATACAAATGTATAACTGATAGACTCGCAGAGCGAATCAACTCCGCCCGCCTGACGCCACACCGGCGTAGCCCCGATAGTAATCAACTGCAGACAGCTGTGACGAGTGGGAACGTAGCTGGTAGAGTTTTGCAACATAACCATCTAAAAACTGAAGAGCAGCCTGCTTTATGAGCTGCTGAAGTTAACCTGTGTGGATCTGTGCTGAGATTTCTGCCTGATCACAAGTGTTACTTTAGGTTTCACAAGCAACATGCAGTCCCAACCTGCGTCGGCCAAACGGTCTGAAGGGGATAACGTTACTACCAGCGGATCAATAACGTAATGCAGCGCAGAGTAAAGGGCAGCTAGACTTCTCAGTAAATGACGACGTTAGTCTGGACGCGTCAGAGAACCCAGATCTGTGGGAGAGATTCTGAATGTGCAGAAAGTTTTGACCATGAGCAGAAAATCTGCTGAAACACAGGAGCTGTTGAAGTCCAGGAGTTTCTAACTGAATTAACACTAAATAATTTCACATTGAGGTGAAAAGGAGCCACAATCCCATTTAAAGAGGTGACTTCCCCAAACAGAGACACAAAGAGGAGGGAAGACTGAATCCTGACTCAGCAGGGATGAGATTAAATAAGTTGATCTACAGGAGAAACAGATCTGAGAGCAGCACTGACTTAGATTCTGGTAGAGTTGGGCTATAGATTTAGAATCGTCACCTGCCACCTGAACTTTGTTTCTTTTTATTCTGTACATATAAAAAAATCACCCTAAACTGGGGCAGAAAGATTCATCGGAATGCAGGAAATAAAGTGTTTAATGCTCAAAATGTTGATAAAATTTATGGATTTATTCACAACAGAATTACAACTGTGGACTGAGACTGTGGCTCCTCCAGGCTGCGTGTCGAAGTGTCCTTGGGCAAGATACTGAACCCCGAATTGCCCCTGGCGGCTGTTCCGCCAGTGCGTGAATGTTTCTGTTTGAGCGCTTAGGCTCAGTGAGTGAATGCAGATGTAGTGTAAAAGTGCTTTGAGTGGTCGAAAAGACTAGAAAGCTATACAAATACGGAGCATTTACAAGAACACAGATAACAGAACTGCAGATAAAGACGACATTACGGGCCACCTGGCCGTGAGGTGCAGCTCTACATAATGTCAGCAGGGAGATTAGAGACCTAAAAGGCCGACGCTCCCAGAGAACACACCTCTCCATACGTTATCTGTTAAAGCCTCCAAACACTGCAAGCCGGATGAGAGGGCGGTGTTGCTTTTCCCTCTTCTCTTCTTTCTGTCGTCCAGTAAATATATTTATTTTCCTCTACTCGTGGACTAAAACCATCTCTAGGTTTGTTAACTATTCGGTTTCTGTGTTCATGTAAGAAAAAGCTTTCAAACCTTCTACCAAAGAACACGAGGAAGAACTCCTGGAGCCTCTGGGCCTTTCATGTTCGTGTTTCAAGTTAGATTCTTCAAACTCTCAAAAGGATCGCAGGTCTCTCGTTTCTGCCTGATGAATGTTCGAGAGGTTTCGTCATTTACATGATCAGCGTCCTAAACGGCCCACACGAGGCGACCTGTTTGTTTAAAGAAGTCCTGCTTGCAGAAATCAGCACCAAACCAGAGAAAGTTTATCAGTCAGTTGTCGTCTAAGAGGATCTGAAACAATTCAAAAATATGAATAAATCAGCTGCCCACACAGAGCAGAGCTGCACAGTGAGGGGATATTACGCTGTCAGGTGTTCTAGCTACAGAAAGACTGAGGCAGGTGTCAAAATCTAACAAGCACGCCGTGTTATGCCATGACGATGATAATACGGAGAACTGGATTATTACTTTTGCTGCAGTTATATCCATATTATATTCAAACTGCAGGTTAATTCAGACTGAGGCCCCGTCCACACTGCTCCGTTTCAGTTTAAAAACAAGTTTTAAAACGAATACGATCTCTGTCCACAGCAGCGTTTTAGCTGCGTATCAGAGTTGATCACCGTCTGTATTAAAACTACTGAAAACACACATCTAGTGGCCGTTCACGTACACTGGGCGTGCGTGTGCTGGTGTAAACATGAAGCAGATGGTCTGTTCCGTAGTTACAGAAGATTTGGCGAAAGAATAAAGTACTACAGACGAAGAACCGCACCGGATTTTATTTTGCATGGACCGATAACGAGCTGGGACTGTTACTGAATGTAACTCGTTGCAAAGTAAATACGGCGACATGCACAGTACACGTGTCGGCTGTAGGTGTTATTTGCACGGTACAATACATTTTAATAAAAATACCGAATCAAAAACTTTGTCAGCAGCATCGTGTTTCTGCATTGCATGACTTATGAGACCCAATCAGAGAGCCGAGCATCATCGTTTCTAAAGTCCTCCGTTTTTTCCCCGTCTTCACTAAAACGCTGTCCAGAGTTTAAAAACAAAAGACGGGGTCGGCAGCATTTTAAAACTTCTCCCGTGGACGGGAGGAGCAGACGTAGCAACACGCAGGAGTGTGGGTGGGGCCTGAGGCACAAAGATTTCAGGTGAGATGAGACTGCACCTGCCTCGAACGACCCGTAAACTCTATTTGTTCCATAAAGACTGAAAAAGTACAAATCCTACCCACAGGTCAAGAGCGAGTCAGATCAAATGAGGGGTTCTTGCCTTATTGCCTAGAACAACAAAAAACTGTGCAGGATCTACAACGGCATGCAGCAGCGCATGCACGACATGTCCAATGGGGCGGTGGAAATTCACCCTGTCATGAGATACTTGGCACCAAAGGTTAAAAAATATGGTACCTTTTCCGCTTAACAGACTTTGAAAGAGAGATATCAGTACTTCCTCAGATCTGGATCTGGTCTTATCTCACACCTCGGAGATCACAACAAGTGAAACAGACAAACACCACAAGCTCCTTCCTTCGACTGCTTTGGCAGTGCCTGGGTGTCTGATATTATTGAGAGAGCCGTCGCTCACTCACAGTCTGTTTTTACTTAACGCCCCCCTCCTCCTTGACCCTGTGGCTCTCTTCTTACCGAGATATCGCACAGCTGGAGCTCCCTACAGCAAGATTACATCACGCTAAAACACAAAATATTATCTGCTGGACCAAGCTACTACAGAAAACTAGAGTCCTGTACAAACATTTGTGGTGAGCTGTTGTCTTCAGATGTGTCTTCATGTGTTCGCCTGCTTGGTTACTTGTCATATACACGTCTACTTGAGTTCTGTGGATATCATCTTGGATGATGGAGGAAATTGGCCTAATTATCTAATTTCTTTCCATCTGAATGTGGCTGGTTTATGTCTGCAGAGGTCATGGGGTTCCTGGGTAGCAGAGGGAGGGGGATGGTTAATGTTCGTTGGCAGTTTCTGTATTTGGATTTATGTGCACTGCCTCGGTTCATCTTGTAAGTGGACAGAGGACGGGGGCGGGGAGAGAAGGGAAGTGGGGGGGACGACAATAATAATGCAAAACAATGTCTGCTCCATGTGTGAGCTCCAGACAGAGGAAGAGCCGACCATCTGAAGTCTCCTTCATGTTCATATAATAACCTGTTATCTAACCGCCCCCCCCCCCTCGCCACAGAGATGCAGACACATAGCAACAGCTCATGGCAACAGTTGCCATGGTGACCCCACAAGCATCCCTGAAGGAGAGAGAGACTCTACAACACAACAGCGGAGCAGCACCACCGACGCTACATGCAACTACATCACTGCTCAGATCACCATCTGCATTAAACAGTAACTCTGCAGACAGAGAGAGAGGTTTTGAGGTTTAACAATACCTTTATTTATACATTTTTACTTCAAAATTATGAACAAAGTAACCATCACCATAAAACCATTTGTACTCTTATAATAAAACTCCTTTTTTAAAACTTCAAAACAAACTGATCCTCATGCAACTTACATAACA